GAAAGGCGGCCCCTGTCCCAGGCGACGGGAAATACTCTAGCAACAAAACAAGGAGGCCTGCAGAGCGAGATCGAAGTGCGCAATAGAGAGGGGGACAAGGCACGAAGAGATTGTAGGCCGGCATGATGCAAACCGGGGGGAGCGGAGCATGGCATGGGAACGGCAATGCTGACGTAAACAGGAAAGCCAATGAAGGCAACGCTCAAAACAGGAAAACTGAGGCGCGCTTCGCACCGGTCAGGACTCGGCCGCAGCATGGTGCGCATAGCTTTAAAGCGTAGCAGCGAGTGGGGGACAGCCTGTGAGAATGAAGGAAAGACAGTTAGTCCGAGCGGAAGTAATTAAATGGCAGAAACGAGGGGGGCCAGCAGCCACGCGGAGACAGATATGGCTTAAGGTGAGAGAGGTGGCGCAAAGGAAAGAAAGCAGTCACAGAAGGTGGTTAAATGGGCGGGGAAACATGGCCGGGTCAAAAATGACTCCAAGGCCTCACAGGGTACGTGGAGCAAGAATGTGCCAGCCAGAGAAAATGCGGTGAGAGACCAGTGTATGTCGAAATGGCAAGCGCCGAGGACAATAACCGTCATAGCGGAAAAACGCCAGAAAGTGACGGCCACCAGGCGAGCGGCGGAAGACATGCCTGCAGGTTAACTAAGTGGGTGGTGATCGCGTCAGGACAATAAGGGCACGCAAGCAGGGAAAATGTAAGCTAGGGCTCAAGATACTGCCGAAGGAAGCAGGAAATGGAAAACAGAAAGCGGCGAGCACGTGAACCGGGGGAACGCAAATGTAACCGCAGGGTGGAAAGAGGACGCGTCGCAGACATCGCACAAAGGGGAGTCTAGAGCAGAAAAGGAGACAAACCACGGCCAGCGCAGTACCGCTTGTAAAACCACAGACATGGTCGACGCGGATAGGAAGGTAGGGGCAACAGGATTTTGAATGCTGCACGAAGGCGTACAGGACAAGCAAACAGAAGGAGGTCCATGCAGAGCCCAGTAGAAGACAGTGGGAACCGCACTAAAAGGCGGGCGGGGTGCGGCGGAGCGCTGAAAAACCGACGGACAAACAGCGGTCAAAAGAGAACCATGCCGCTCCAGAGAGCTGGTAGCGGGGACAACACTCGGCAAGAGGGAGAGTGAAAGGCGCGTCAAGGATAGATGGGTCCGTAGAAGTGAGGCGAAAACTCGCTGCGGTGCGAGACCATGCGGGGTTGAGAAAGGGCGTGAACTAGCGTAGCCACTTTGGCAAGGCCGGGACATAGTTCCTCACTGAGGAAGATAAGAGGAGTCAGACGGAAGAGCGTGAAGAATAAAGTGAGAAAGGGCGCAGAAGCTGCTTGAGCAGGGTGGGAGAGTCAAGTGTCGGCGAACAAGACCACGTGGTGGAGGGGGAAGAAGTAAGTAGGGAAGTGAAAACGCAGATAAGATCAATGGGAAAAACAAGAGGCAACTACAGCATGTACTAAGAGAGCGGAAAGCCAGAATAAAGCGGAGGTAGAGTGGGAAGGGGTCCAAGGAGAAAAAAGTGGAGGGAAGAAGCAAGAAGGCAGAAGGAACGGGAAAGGAGCGGGGCGCAAAAGAGCGGAGTGGGGCAGCAGTGCTAACAGGACCGGTCCCTTTCCCAAGCAGAAAGCCGTGCACAGAGGAGCAAGCGCTAGAGGAAGAGGAGCAGAGAGGAGGGGAAGGGAGCGGCCGCCCGGAACCCGACCAGACCTGTGAGAAATGGCGAGACATACAGAGAGACCGGCGGAACCGGGCACCACCACCAAAAAGAGAACGAGGGAGACGGGAAGTGGTGACTGGTCTATATGATCTGGTCAGAGAGGCTGACTGCATCACCGCTGATGATGAGTACTAGCGGTTAGTGATGGCCAAATGAAGCTTTCCGAAGCACTGAAGCTTGTATTGAAAAACGGTTCATTACTCGAAGCTTTTCAACACAGTCCTCTCTGGTGACATCTGGTGGTGAAACTGTTGAAGAGCAGCTTGAATCTGCAAAATAAAACGGACTGCTCAATTATCACTGCTCACACAAGAGTAGAGTTCTCTCTGATATTGGGCCACCGTTCCGTTGCTTTGAACATGTAATTGGTTTTGTTTTCTCGATTGGGGGGGCTGAAAAAAATGTAATGCGTATTTGCGTAATACATTTTGATCAATAAACTTTCCCTATTTAAACATGCACTATGGTGTGGCCTTTCTTTGCTCATAACTCCTTGATGTTGGTAAATACAATAAGTGAGCAATATATATAATATACATATGAGAATGCACAGCACATTATGGAGTATGCCCCTGCTGTGGAGTCCTGCCTCCATCTTGTCATTTAATCACTGGACAGCTGGACAGGTTCATACAAAATATTAGATGAGGCCAATTGTCCTATACATATTTTTGACCTAGGGGTGGAATTGATTGTGAATTGGAAAGGGAAAATGCTTAGGGGGCTGAGTATGGCTGCATCGTTGTGAGTAAACAAAGGTCAGCGATTAGCTAATGAACCTTCTAACGATGGCGTCAGTGAGCAAACAGACATCAGGTGCACCTGAATGCACGTGATGTCCTCTGCTTTTGCGGGTTCACAGATGTTTCTGCAAAAAGCCTGGAAGACAAAACTGAGACATGAACACACTGCAGGTCCGCCTCAGATTTAGACCTGCAGCCGTGTGTGTGTTTTAAACCTGTGAATAAAGAGGACTGTTCTGAAGTCTGGTGTGAGTCTGTGGCTCTGTAAATATAATTTATCGTTCGTTCTGAGTTTCAGCAGCTTCACACTCTTCTGCAGTTTTGCTGTTTGTGCGTGGGAAATAAAACGTGCCTTAAATTTTATCTTTCCTGTACAAACATTTATATTTTGTGCTCTAACAATGAGAACATGTGTCTGCAAGTGTGGCTTAGAAATAAATAAATAAATCATCATGTTTCTATTTTTGTCACTGGCTGTCATTTATGGATTTCAAATATTATTATTGTTATTTTATTTTTTGTGTTCACAAGTTTCCCCGTACTCACACGGGGCGTGTGAGTGTGTGTACGACGTTGAAAAAATCAACTCACTCACAAAACGGTGTCTAATTTATACTATATTAGGGGGGAAAAGACAGTTTGGAAATTTATGACAAATATCTGTAAAATTCTTTTGGAAAGTCTAAACATTTTAAGTCAAGGAGTAAGATCTATGTATTTTATTTTCAAGGTTATAATGGAAAAATGTAGACATTTGAACTGCTAGTAGAAATAATTAGTAAATATAGTTTTATAGAACACCCACAAATTAAGGCTGACAACAAGCTACAAGCTCATCTGCTGCTCACTGCGAGAATAGTGTGCAGGGACCATCTACAAAGTGCAACACCCAAATATGTAAAACATGCATATTCAGCAATAACCATGGTGCCTTGTAGTGTTACCACTGCACTGGGGTTTTCAGACTAAAAAGTCTGAATTTTACCTCACTTTCCTTAGCCCGGCCGATGGCTTCAGCTGCAACATAAAAGTGACTGGGGAATTTCAAGACGTACATCATAGACCTTTCTTATGCTACAAACCGCAGGTCCTTCGAAAAGATGCCAAACGGCTCTTAAAGAATGAGGAAATTTTGAGAAAATGTCCTACAATCCTTTGGCATTCAGTAAATCCATATTTTAAAACACCCCTGTGGAAACGTTAAGAGTTCACAGATTGTCCAGCAGGGGGCACCGTTACATTTAAATGTGATTTAGAGCGCTTCACCAATCAAAACCTGCCCTTCTTCAAGAGATGTTTTATCTACAATTATAGCAATCTATAATTTTTTTCTTTTCCTTTTTAATGACATCGGACCCATGATTTTATACGAGCGATCTTTATGACGCACATTTCCACGAAATTAAAGTTAAGCTATATATGTCTAAGTAAGTGACTTGCGGTGGTCTTTAAAGCTCCAGAAGCCACTTATCAGTAAAATTATTCTTGGTTTGGGTGGTGCTCCTTCCCCGTGTTTTGTTTGTTTTGGAGGTAATCAGTTTAGTACACTTTATGGTTATTTTCTTTTAACCAGTTAAACCCTGCCCACTGCTCACATTTAGAGCAGTCTACAGACTCAACTTTTGATTCACAGAGATTAAGCCTATATACACCAGCCTCATTATGTAATACTTTGGACATGTTTAATACATGCATTCAATTCTCAAAGTACATGTGACGGTAAATAAAGAATAAAATGTCTTTTCAATGCTGCATCAACAGTACTGACAGGGACTAGAAAGAGAGAGCATATTTCTCCTATATTGGCTTCCCTTCATTGGCTCCCTGTTAAATCCAGAATTGGATTCAAAATCCTGCTCCTCACACACAAGGTCTTAAATAATCAGGTCCCATCTTATCTTAATGACCTTGTAGTACTATATCACCCCATTAGAGCACTTCGCTCTTGCCCTGCAGGCTAACTTGTTGTTCCTAGAGTATTTAAAAGTAGAATGGGAAGCAGAGCCTTCAGCCTTCAGGCCCCTCTTCTGTGGAACCAGCTTCCAACTTGGATTCAGGAGACAGACACTATTTCTGCTTTTAAGATTAGGCTTCAAACTTTCCTTTTTTGCTAAAGCATATAATTAGGGCTGGACCAGGTGACCCTGAATCCTTCTATAGTTATGCTGCAATAGATGTAGGCTGCTGGGGGATTTCCATGATGCACGAGTATTTATTTTTTAGTCACCTTTCTCACTCACTACATGTTTATACACCTCTTTGCACTGAATCACACTTGTTATTCATCTCTGGCTCTCTTCCACAGCATGTTTTTCTTCTCTCTCTCTCCCCCAACTGGTCGCAAGCCTGGTTCTGCCAGAGGGTTCTTCCTGTTAAACAGAGCTTTTCCTTCCCACTGTTGGAAAAGCTCATAGGGGGTCATATGATTGTTGGGTTTTTCTCTGTATGCATTACTGTAGGGTCTACCTTACAACATAAAGCGCCTTGAGGCGACTGTTGTTGTGATTTGGCACTGAAAAAATAAAATAGAATTGAATTTAATGTAACAGCAAAAACAATCTACAAATCAGTTTTCCAGTAACTGCTGTTAAAATATTTGATGCTTCCAGGTCTTGGTTTGTTTAAAAAACGAGAAGTTTAGAGGGAAGAGGTTTCTGTAGTGGATCAGCTAACACAACACACGTCTGAAACTTGAAAAGGAGTCCAACTAGACAGGGTACCCTTTTTGTTTTTTTCTGCATGAGGGAACAAAGGCAATGAAACTTCACTTTATTTAAATCACAGCTAATTCTGACAAATCCAGACAAAAAGCTGGAGGGACCAGATGTGATGTAATGTAGTTTTAGCTTATTGGTATTGACTAACTTCAGTGATCCATTGTGTTTGGAAATGCTCTCTGGTCACAGTTGCATTTGAATACATTTTTTCATACTTTAGCAGAACAAACTGTACTAAAACAGGAAAAGAAAAAATAGTTCTGCATTGAGATTTGTAAGAAATCATTTAAATTATTTTCCAGAAGTTACCTGGAAAATTAACAATGATAGCAGATTTCACAGAAGGATAGGGAAAAGACCAAACTAAAGTCATTGTTAGATGTAAATAGATTTCTCTGAACAGTCACAGAGTTTGGGTTATTCGATTTTAATCAAGATTGACAAGTATTCATGTACCGTAATTCCCGGACTACAGAGCGCACCTGATTAAAAGCCGCATGCTCTAATTTTAGAAAGAAAATCAATTTCATACTTGTACAGGCCGCACCGGATTTTAATTCACTTGTAATAAAAGATATTTACACAGAAATATTACATGTGAGGATTTTTAAAGTTTAATTTAATCCGTAAGGTAACATACAAAAATACATACTGCAAATGCTTTTTTTCCTCGAACAGCGCCTGTAACACGGCTACCTTTAAGTATACGTACGTATCAGTAACACACAAATTACGTTGCTTATGGTTTTTTTACGGAACAGTGCACAAACAACATTACAATGTCTCTTAACAACCGGTAAAAATATATACCGTATATATACTACTTATCAATTTGATTGGTCTACTGTTACCAGGCAAAATGTTTTTGGCCGCATGAAAAAAGAAAAATGCATTAGCCGCACGTCAGTATAAGCCGCAGTGTTCACAGTGTGGGGAAAAAGTAGCGGCTTATGACCCAAAAACTACGGTACATTTCCCACTTCCCGGTATAAAAAAAGCATCTTACACGCTCAGGATGCGTTCGTTTACAGCAACAAAAATCTTTTTTATTTAATGTTTCAAAAAGATAAAATACAAACCAATTTTTTCTGAAAATCTTTGACCTAAAAAGCCCAAATTTATTCATGACTAAAAATGATCAGTCACTGACTCAGTCTGTTTACAGATGCAGACATACCTGCATGAAAACTGTACACAAAGCAAACGAGTATAAAATGTGACACATCTGAAGAAAATAAGCAAGAGAATCTCCCGGTCACGGTGTTGCTCACAGCCCCATCACAGAGGGAAACACAGCAGCACCTGTGGAAGGAAGGAGAGTGCATTCAATCCATTCACAATGTCTCTCATTAACCCCTGTCATCTGAACTCACACGACGTCAAAATCAGTCTGCGTCTACTTCAGCGCAGTCTCGTACTTTTTGGGCTACCTTGACCATCTCCTGTGTCCGATTCCGGGACTTTCCAGTCCAGTTGGCGCCCTTTTTCATAGAGTCCCTTGAGGACCTTCCTCACTTCATCATTCCCGCCGCCATGACTCAGCTCCAGGTACTTCCTGTACAGCTGCAGGGCAGTGCGTGCATCCTCTATGCTGTCATGGGTTTCCCCCTGGATGTTGAGGTCTGTGGACATCAAGAAGAAAACAATCAGAAATGACTTAAGGTAAACTGTTATCTTCAGATTTCAGAAGAGAATTACATTTATTGATAACGAGTGAAATAAAATGATTATCTTTATACATTTTTAAGTGTTTCAGCTTGAAATGTGTCTATAACCTTGACAGAAAGGTCTCCGACACTCATACATCATCAGTCTACTGTAATCTGCTACCATCTGGGATTTTTTTACACTGTGTATGTTGGAAGTTGTGATTTTATTTATTAATTTATTTATTTTTTGATTGGTTGGTTTAAGACTTCAAGATTTAAAGGAAAACTCACACATATTTGAATTAGTTAATTTAATTAAATAAAAAGTACAGGATTATTTTTTGAGGCATTCATCTGTATGTCTGAAGATCATTGAATGCAAAGACTTTAATGCTGTATATAGACGCGAGTTGCAGGTAAGGCTCATGGGCTTCTGTAGAAAATGCTAATGTCAGCTGGTCCCTTGCACCACGGCATCGCCAAATGTGTTAACTACTAACCTTTGTTTTTTGTACATTTTTTGATTTGTTTGTTTTTACAGTAAGCTCTATATTTTAACCTTGACTTACCGAGAAAATACCAGGCAAGAAATCTAAGAGAAATCATCCTCTTGCGGGGCAAATGGAAGAGATGGACAGTATCAACAACTTGATCTTTTGGAACCTTAAAAAACAAAAGAAAAACCTTAAAAATCACATCTAATCACTCTAAGAGTTGTGAGATGACTGAATTTGACTTTACTGAGCTCTAAATTATACACACTAGTTTATAGAAACAACATACCAGTAAGTTGATGACACGAAAGTCTTTCTGTAGGCCGTGACCTACAAAGCGAACTCCTGTGTCAATGAGGAAGCGCAACTTTAGGTAGGTTGACTTCAGAGTGGTCAGATGCTTAGAGGATATTTTGGCATCCAGGTCTCCAGGTTTGATGCCAGAGTATTGTGTCAAATAGTCGACCACCTGGAAGAACAAATTGACCAGTTAGCAGGTGGATCCATGAAACATTATATACTCATACTCTCTGCAGCTTCTCACCTGCTCCTGAGTGGAGATGTAGTCATCGATGAAGGGGACCCCCTCGTTGGGCCCCTGACCCCTCACACAGGTGATCCTGGCCACAGACATTTGACTGGGCTTAATGGTTGATTTGGTGCCATCACTGCGTAGCTCTGCTTCTTCCTACAGACGCACACATTAAAGAGTTGAGTTTGTTTAATAACAACAAGATTACTTTAGAAAGACTCCAGGTTGCCAGTGGACTCGAACCCAGGACCTTTTCACGATAATACATCAGCTTTTTACAGCTTATGGGTAAAAAGCATTCCATTTAACACAGTCCAACCTAGGAGAGCACAGATTACTAACCTTATTAACTGGACACCTGGATTAGTTTCATGAGTTAACCATTATGACCAGTCTGTGTGACAGAGAGCTCCCTGTAAATGTCTATAATATTTTTTTTTATCATGAAAGATTATGTCTTCCCACCTTCTTCTTCAATCGGCAGGCTTTAGGGGTCACCTCCATCTCACCCTACCCATAACACTCACCATGTCTTCCTTCACTACATCCATAAACCACCTCTGTGGCCTTCCTCTTTTCCACCAGGCTGTCCAATATATCCACCATCCCTCCTCTGCACATGTCCAAACCACCTCAGTCTTGCCTGTCTAACTTTGTCGTGGCTGAGAAGCCCCTCTGATGAACTCATTTCTAATCCTATTCTTTCTGTAACACTTTTTCCTCATAACCAGGTCATCAGCTACAGGTAATACTTAATATTTAGTGTTATAGATTTCAACCTGGAAGCAATTTTTTTTAGTTATTTGGTTTAACATAAGAAGATACAAATCATGATTAAAAAGGGCCTGATGTCTCCAGGTCACTGTAAATTTCCATGTCATGGAGATTTGTGTAGACTTTATTGTCAGCTTTTCGCAGGTAAACAACTTCAAACAAAAACTTCAAAGAGTACACTGCGCTTTGAAGTCACACTGCTACAGAAAAAGCAGAAGTGGTTTAATCCCAAGGATTCCTCTTTATTATCAAAGTGTTTACACTAACCGCAAAACAATGTGACAAATATCTGGCAATTTCACTCCTTTGAAATCCCACACAATATATTATTTTCAGTTTCAAGTTAACACCAGTGCATTATGGTTAGAATAGTTCTCCTTTAAGATGGGGAATGTTGTAGTGGAGTGGGTGGATAAAACTTGAATGGGTTTTGAATTAAATTCATCCAAAATCAGAAAAAAAATTCAAAGCCACACAAAGCAGAAGTATGCGGAATTAAGAGGAAGGATCTTTTAATACGGTAAAGCAAGCAACGACAACCCGATTAATGTGGTTACAAGTGTTTTACAGGGTAATGTATTCACACAGTGGTATTGTGGTTAGAGTTACCTGATTGAGTGTTACAAACTCAGCGTCCAGCCCCACCAGATCACCAGCCTGCGGCATCTCACTGACCATGAGAGGGATAAAAGTGGCATGTGTCTTCCTCTGCTTCCGAGCCAGTGACGCCTCTGTGAGCAGCACGCTAGCATCTATGGGATTTTTAACTGAGGCAAACAGCAGAGCATGAGCAGTTCGATCAATAAAAAGAAAACCTTCAGATTTATTATGCTGAAACTTACTGCGGAGGTCGTATTTGGTGTGGTAGTTTCTCCTAGCGTAATACAGAATGGCTGGCACTTTCCAGCTCACATCAAACTGTGCAGCCTCAGTCTGAAAACAAAAACAATAAATCAACAGATAAAATAATAAATAGCTTTAGGTGACTGCACACGTTTACATTAGCAAAAATAAATCCTTACTTTATCAATCGGTTCAATGAGGAAGTCATTGAAAAGGTACCACTGCTGGTGTGTGACTCCCTGAAATAATAAAATCATTTTAAATGTTAAAAATGTAACTTTTCAAAGTGAGTTTATCTCAGACTGCAATTTCTTATCTAAGACTAACGCACCTCTTTTCTTTGATGGTAGGTCTCACCCACTTTAATGTGTGCAACCAGATTACCACCCGTGCGAGCATCCAGGATGTGCGGCACCGTGACCACCAAGTCATACAGAGAAGCTCCCTCCGCCTCTTCAGCAGCACTTAACTAGTAACAGATAAAGTAAGAGATAAAGAGAAGATAAACTTTTTTTTTAACCACATGCTGTTACAGCAGCCAAAACAGTACACCCAATTTAAGATAAATAACCGTTAAAATAGAATACCTCAGTAACTCAAACTCTAATCTTTCTGTTTTTGTTTAAAAAAAACAAAAACAGAAAGGAGCACAAATGAACAGAAAAAAATGAAGTAAAATAAATACAGGGGTTAGAGATCTAAAACTCTTAAGTTAAAGACAATAATGGTTTAAAATTATCTAAAAATTGAAATAAAATATAGCTAAATGCTATATATAAAAAATAATAATATGGCAGCAGGTTATTCCAGAGACTTTCCCCTAATACTCTCCAGTTACTCCTGAAGTCCCCAGATGGGAGAGCAGGCCAGATGAGATATATAATGTTTTCAATGGTTTCTGAGACATCCCGGACTACACCCATTCGCCTCAACTAACACTTTTGGTAATAACCATAGGTGACTTGGAGGTGCTTATACCAGCTGTTTCCCACTTGACTGCAAACCACACCAGTACATGCTAACAGTCTCACTCAGATGAAGCCCGCAGAACCAAAAAAAAGGGATGCTATTCTGAGCTTCCCAAAGCAGATACCCACCCCAGCTACATCTGCACTAATTCAGGTTTCTTCCACACCAGTGAGGGAACATTCCACATCCCAATGAACAGACAGTGATGCTTCGAGTCAACATATCTAAGCCCCTGTCTTTTCTTGATACCTTGATACCCAGGTCACACTGCACCTGAGCCCAGCGTCTCTCCCTGCATGTGGTGGGTCCATAGAGGGGCAGATCTGTTTACAGGTTTTGCCCCGCTCAGTGCCCGGCAATGTGGATTTTCTACATCTCTCTTAGTCTCTTATCCCTGCCCTGATAGCAGTTAGCCTTGGAACATGAAACAGATCCCTGGATCAAAGGGATGTGCAAATCCCTCTCTCATCAATAAGGTGTCAGTTTGTCAGGGGTTGTAAAAAAAACTATATAAAAAGTTACATAATATATAATATAATGAAGTGTGTGTGTAAAGTAAAACAAAATAAGAGATATAAATTTAACAAAGAAAGAATAAAGATGTCTTACTAAATGTAGATTTACTGCTCAGAGATACTGCAGTGAGTGGACAGGGAGGAAAATTACAGACTGAAATTATTTCAAATTATTGTTAGCTCAAGAAGCTCTAAAGGCCTCACCTCCTCGGTCTCAGACCACCTGCTGATCTCTAGTCCTTGACTTTTGCTGATGGACATCTTGAGAGTGGCGGGGATCCAGATGTGCCGCAGATCCTCTGTGCGAGTGTCAAAGGTGATGCCCTCCATACCGCAAATCTCCTCCCCACTGCACAAAGTTTAAAGTGTAAAGTTCAACAACATATTTAATCACAATTTAAGATAAAGTGCAATTTCAACAGCACATTTCAGTTTTTCTCCATGATCAATGTAGAAAATTACAGAAAAAGATCTGATAGCTCAGTGCCAAAAGACTGTCCCATATTTGATGTTTCTTTTTTTCCTACTGAAACTTTTCTGTCATTTAAATGTTTATCCAATCCTCACTACTTTGGTGTAGTATGAATGGACACAGGGGGAGGTCTTTATCGGGAGGAAAAACTATAACACAACAAACACAGTTAAAAGTCCAATAATTTATACCTACCTTCATTTTTCCAAAGTTGTCTACCGGACCAGATTGGAGTCTTTGTCAAGCTCATTCTGGCCCAACTAAGGCCTCCAAACCTTATGTTTGACACCCCTAAAGCTTCTCAAAGTGCTCCTTCCAATGTACAGCTGTGTGTGTGTGTGTGTGTGTGTGTGTGTGTGTGTGTGTGTGTGTGTATTTCTTTAAAATGAAAAGGGGTCTTACTCTACTTACTCTAAGCACCACTCAGTGGGCATGGGAGGTGGTTCTTTAGGTTTTGCTGGTTTCTCTTTCTGCTTGGCTTTATTGAAAGCATACTATAAAAAACATTCATGTAATTAATAACAAGTTGAAGAAAACCATCTTGGTTTTAATTTTTATCTTTCTAATGACAGAATCAATGTCGCTTACCTCGGCCTGAACCTTCCAGAATTCAGCCTCTTTAGCACTGTTCACCTCACAGTTTATCACCAAAACATCTGGTAGACATCGAATGTTTCGTGTCTGCACCTACAGTGTAACACAAACACACTATCACTCTGCAGCACGGCTAACAATCTGTTATGTATTGACAATATGAGTGAATAAAAGCTGTAACTCACTGTGGGCTGATACTTCTCACAGTTTTCACACCATGCCTGAGTGCTCTGCTCCAGGCAGATGCTTTTCTTCAGGATCTCAGCAAAGTCATACTCCTTTATTGTTTTTTCTGAAAAATATCAGAGTCAAATTAATATACTGGTAACAGATATAGCCTACTGCTCACTCAACATTAAAACTACCCATCTGTAATGGAGGACATTCAAATATTTAAAGCTACAAACACAGAACAATAAAATATAGTAGCTCTGGAAAAGGATATACAGAGGAAGATAATTAAATTTCTAAATACAGGATTAAAAAAACATATTGGAAACTGATAAGATAAAATTATCATTATTATTATTATTTTTAAATGCAAGCATATGATATATATACACACGTGTAAGAAAGAGGAGATATGAGTGTGAAATGCACACCTCAGTGCTCTCAAACTGACCTTGAGTGTTCTGCTCGGGGTAATGCATGGTGAAGAGCAGCGTGAGGGAGGAGCGGACCGTTTCTTTGCCACAGCGACACAAACTACTGTTCTCAACTTCACAACCAAACAGCTTTCCAATGACAGACTCACCAGAGGAGCCCAGACAACTGCAACACAAACAGAGCAGTCACATTTGTTACGCAGACGTTATCTTTTAAACGGTTTCTACTTTTATAAACAAACTTAATAAGACTGGAAATATGTTCAGTAAGACTGCAGGGCTTACTAGACTCAGAGCAGTTTTTGCTCTGTGAGTAAGAAATCCTGCAAATGATTCACTTTCTCTCAACAGAGGTACAAGTTCCTGTCAAGGTACCCGTCTGATCTTTTATACAGTCTCATGTAACAATAAACTGGACGTTAAATAAATCCAGGTGATATGAGGTGTTTTGTAATGTTACTGTCACTTAATTGTTAGATGTATGTAATTATGTCTGTAATTGTGATGCCTTTTTTGATGTGGTTGTCTTTATCGAACAATCACCACACTCAGAAAGAGAATTTCTCAAAGGATAATGACAACATAACAATTGAACTATTTCCAAGCATTGGTCCCCAGGCCTTGATTAATCCAAATTGTCACTAGGTGTGAATGTGCGAGTGAATGTGAGTGTGAATGGTTGTCTGTCCCTGTGTGTTGGCCCTGTGACAGACTGGCGACCTGTCCAGGGTGTACCCCGCCTTTCGCCCTATGACAGCTGGGATAGGCTCCAGCGCCCCCCGCGACCCTGAAAAGGATAAGCGGAAGCGAATGGATGGATGGATGGTCCCCAGGCACAACACCCATATGTGCTTTGGCCAAGGCCACAGTGACGGGAAGTGTAAAGTAACCATGTTAAGGATGGAAGAAACACCAACTCAGAGGAAACCCACAGACCCAGGGCTCTTTCTCTAAGCAGCCTAGAACACATCCAGACTGATGTATTATACCTGCTGCTAGCACCTCTGTAGGCTTGCGGACCCTCCTGCTCCTGTGTCTCCTGGTGAAGCTGGGTGAGGATGAAACGATTCCAACTTTGGATTAAGCGACCAAGCCTAGCCTTCCCTGTTTGCTCGTCCGAGTCTGAGAGGATCAGGCCCAACGCCGAGGCTTCAGGGATGGTTCGAAATGCTCTGAGGAAGTTACTGGCCTTGAGGAAGATGATAGGAGATGGTACTTTGGGAAAGCTACATAATAAATTATTGTCCAGTTGCAAAGAAATGAGGATTCAATTTAAGGGTTCTGTATTTCCCAAGAGGCTGAATCGTTATTTCAGAGAAATGAATGGAAAAAACTTACCTGACATGGATCTCCTCGTGACAAATCTAACATGTGAAAGAGGAAGCCAAGCTCACAGGCCAAACAAAACTCTTTCTGGCACAAATGATTCTGAACAAGGCAGCGAATCGGCTCCAGGAAATATAACACCTAAGACAAAAAACCAGAGAGCAACTCTTGATGATGTCTCATATCAAAAACTAAATTTTTACCAAACACATTGTAAATCTTCAGCTTCTTACCTGGATCATGCAGTTACAGTAGGCATTGGGAATGTGTGGCTCCAGGCCAGCAAACAAGGTCCTGTTGTAATGTTTGAAGTCAAAGTCCTCCAATCCAAGTTTAGAGTATTTAATTGTGACCTGAAGCAGAACAAAGACATCTTCATCACGTGTTTTGGAAATCTAAATTTACAGTAAAACTTTATAGATTGTGATACGTCAACAATAAATCTCATCTCTATATGAGAACGAGAATGAAATAAAGTCCAACCTTTCTATACTTTTTGGGCACCATGTAAAGATGTGGCTCTTCATCACGTCCTATTGGTGACTCAGGGACCTGGTTGTAATTATCATAATCAGGCTCCACATCTTTAATCTTATAAGGAACCTGAAACCAAAACAGGGACCACAAAAAAAAGTTACATTATGTTGAAAACCATGTGTTTAACTGGTTTTCAGCCTTAAAATAGAAAGATTGTTAGGATTTTGTGAAGAAGGACAATAAAAAAATATTTTTTCCCCATTTAAATTAGCATAACCAAGTTCTTCACATGCCTGGTTCCTGGGGCGGGTACGAGGATTTGCTGCGTAACCAATGAAGCCAACAGTTTTCATAGTGCGGAGGATTTCTGGGTCCACCGGAGGGGCTCGTCTGTTTAAAAAAAAAACAAAAAAAAACAAACACACGTTTTAGATTGTAAAGCAGTTAAGGGGAAAAGGGGGAAGGGGCAGCTACAAGCCATGCTTCTCATTCTGAAGTGCCTTTAATAGTGAAACAGGAGTAAATTAATATATTCGTTCAAAAAAAAAAAAAAAAACTGCATCACAAACTTTACAAAATCTGAACACGAAAAAAATCCAACCAATTTCAAGCCATAGTTTACATGTTTTAATTAGTGTCATAAAATATGGCGTGTCTCTGTCCCTTCACATAAAGTGTGTAACATATGGCTTCAAATACAGATGTCATCATTTCCATAGGTAATGTTATCAACTATGACTGCAGAGAAGAGAAATTAACCACTTCCAGATTGTCAAGTAATATGTTTATGGTATGAACAGTTATGTCATGCATGAGATCGTACATCTCCACTGATCCAGCTTCTCTTTCCTGGTTTGGTTTTACCATATAAATTCAGAAAAGCTTGAAAATGTTTGATATTTCTCCACACTGTTTAAAAACTTTTTTTCGGTAAAGAAAAACGATCCTTAAAAAACTGAAGTCAACAATGCTTTACTCTGTCTCTCAATTCTTTCCAACTTCCTTATTCTGTCTGTGGCATCCAGCCCCGAGCCCACAGGTTCCTGATGAAAATGTAAATTTCTTAAAAACACGTCATAAACCTATAGTTTAATTTTCCACCGAGGCTAAATAAATTCCTAAAACAGCTGGGAACTTAAAGTCTTGGCAATAGTGTATTTTTTGGAACCACTTTCTGCCTTTGATGTATTTCTTTGTATTTTGAGAAGTGTGACAGTGTAATGTGGAGTTCGTTTGAGATAAACTATAGTGACCCTGATGAACTTTTAAAGACAAAAACAGTTTGGTTTTCTATCCGAGTTACTTTCCAGAGTGTGTGTTTCAGTTCAGTTTTTGGTGACTTATTTGTTTTTAATTTTAGTTTTTAAGTACAACAGTTTTGTATATACTATTAATAATTGTGTTACCTGGGGCTGGGTGTAGCCAGGGCAGTGGGCCAGTCTGACAGCAGAGGCTCAGTGCTCGTCAGCGGCATGGGGATCAGAGAGAGGGGCAGTAGGTCGTGATTCCAGTCCAGCTGAGGCAGTGTGTCCACGAGGCAGGGCAGGGCAAATTCCGTCTCCCGTGAGTAGTCGTTGAATGAAACTTCTGGAGCATCGGACCAAAGGTGCACACATCCCCCTGAATCCCCAAAGGCTAAGGCTTGTTTGCTTGTTGACACGTCAAAACTCATGAGCAACTGGCCCACTGTGTTGACGTGAAAAATATCTGCCATGTTGGCAAGGCCGGTGGGCTCACAGAACTGGCACTGACCTGGAAAAAGAGAGAATACAGGCGGTTATAGTGAAGCTAAATGTACCATCCATCCACTCTCTTGCACTTTCAATTCAGGATCACGAGGCGGCGGGGCTGGAGCATATTCCAGCTATCATAGGACGACAGGCTGTCGGACTGTTGCAGGGCCAGAGAGACAGAGAGACATACAACCATTTGCACTCACATTCACACCTATGGTCAACTGAGAATCACCAGATAACCTAATGCCACTAACTGCATGTCTTTGAACTGCAGGAGGGAGCCACAGAGAATGCAAACTCTGGCCAGAAGGCGGATTCATACCCAGGACTAGCGCTAACCCCCACACAACCATGTTGCCCGGCTACATGTACCAGTTTTTGGAAGCATAAGAGACTGCGGTAAACTACTTATCAGATGTCAGTTTTGTTATTGACTTTCCTAATGATAATATATAAAAACTAAATGATGACTCCTATCATCAAAGTGTTCTGCTTTAGCTCTTAAAACCATACAAGACCAGAAAACTACAGTCATTGCATGAGGTCCTGTGCAACAGCTGGAAAGTGGAACAAACACATCAGGAATGCCACAACAGCTCTTGCTGGCCTCACTGTACAACATTAAAATGAAAATAATTGTGTACATTGCTTGTGTCATGAGCACACTCTTCTATAGCACTAAGAGCTGGACAACATACTCCAGGTGGGAAAAAGACTCAACCCCTTTTCAATTATGATACCATAGTTACAAAGAGAAAAAAATACATTTGACTGTAATGTCGAAATTTAATTCTTCTTGGTATTTCTTGGTATTTCACTTACAAACCAAGGAAACTAACAAGCAATCAGACTAAAGAACTCTAAAATTGACTAGACTCTTTAGTTCATACCTGTCTGTGAGAGGATTGCAAGCCGTGACGTGTAGGTAGGAATGAAGCGCAAGAAGAGGGGATCCACATGCACCTGAAGGGGGGTTACAGCACGCATCATGCGGAGGTCATACACCATGAGGAAACGGTCACATGCCAACCCATTCAGGCCTCGGCTGGAGAATCCACATGCAGCCAGAAGGTTTCCGTGAACATCAAAGTCTGACAAGCTGCCAGAAAATGCATCAAACTCATGCTCCATCTTAAAGGTACGCAAGTCACGAAGGGTCACCTGTTTTGAACGGAGGGTAAATGTGAGAGTCATGTAAAACAAACAAATATATTTTTTCAAAACTGATATAATCACATGAGACTTACTTTGCCAGAAGTGTGTCCACAGAAGAAGAAACGATTGGTCTGACGCATTATTGCCACTCCAGGTACCTCCACTGTGAACTGGAAGTACAACCAACACAGCAGACAGTCAGACACTCGCTGTGAAGTGCTATGTTGTGCCAGTGGTCTATGCTTATATCAGGCTTAATAAATGCAAGCCTGATGTCTTACTTTTTGAGTTTCTTGGACTGTATTCAGGTCAACTTCAGCCACATAGTTTTGCAATCCACCCATGAGCAGTGTGTTGTTATCAGTCATGAGGAGGCTGTGCATATCAGCTCCTTCCTCCATCCTGCAAAGCACCAAAAATGGCCATTAATTCCATAACCGTAAAAATATTTTCATATCTCCATGTCATAAACAATCAATATGAGCGCAAAAACATAGAGGAAAAACACATCCCTATTTAAGATAGGTAGGATTCACAATAATATCTACTGACAGTGTTTCTTCTGTATTTTTGCAGAAAACTTCACCAGGACACTTAATGTTGTATTTTCTCTAATTTCTCACCAATATTGTGCAACATATCAACAATCAATGTAAAAGTAACACTTACGGATAATCAAACATGACGAGACCTCCACGAGTGTAACATCTCAGGTTGCATTTAGAGAGGAACAGCACGCCTGTTTCCAAACTCTGAATATGTCGGATGTCATCGGTTGCGTGGACTTGGAAAGAAGAGTAGCGTGCCATTGTTGGTCCAAAGAATGATGTTACATGACCCTTAAAAGAACACAAAAAAGGAATATTACAAAGTGTAACGGCTGACGAAACGATCTGTCCTCCAATATAACTCTGGTTCTCACTCTGTGGTTTCCCATCCAGAGCATTTCCTCCTGCAGGTCAAAATGTGTTGCAGTGACAGGGATGCCAACTTCTGAAACTACACTGTGCAGCTCAGAAAAGATCCCCTCCATCAGGTGTACAGGCTCCGGGACGGTCACAGCCTGTCCCTCTGGGTATAGCTCCACACCCTGGAGTAGTTTTGGGTTTAGGTGTGGGTCCATGGAGGGTTCCAGGCCTGCATCTAGAGTTCCATGAAGGCTGGCTGAGTATTCACCCATCCCAGGGTCAAGACCGTCAAAGTTCATCATGGATTCAGTTAAATCAACCTAAAGAGAAACGCCAACGCATGTTAATAGGGACACCGGGGTCATGTTAAGGTGTTGGATTGGAACCAGTCTGTCTTTGTATTTTTGTTGCTGGGTCTGAAGTGCTCTAATGTTAGGATGTTAGGCTTGGAGAAGGTTCTTTCGAGTTTTTCCTTTTCCAAGACGGTAGTCTTGTTTTATTTCTTTTTGGTTAAAATTTGGGGTTGTTTCTTTGACTTAACACTGACTTAATATACTTTTAGAGTTGGAGAAGGAATTCGGATGAGAGGTGAAACATCTTAAAAAACCTAAGAAGAAGTCCAGTAGTCCTAAAAGCAGGCGCTACTACAATGACCTGGATTACTGAGAATCTGCAAAAACATCCTGCAGCTTTGATGCTAGCTTTGACGTAGCTTTAGAGTTCGCGTTTGTAAGCTAACAGGGGGAAAGACCCGAAAGACGATTCTCTGGTATCCATTTCTAAAACATAAATAGGGTAGATAATCTAAAAAGTAAAATAAAATATCTCACACACAAGAGTATTGTCTAATTCAGCCGTGTTTGAACGCTGTTTGTGTCCTGTATCTAAATTAGCTAATGTTAGCAGCGTTGTGGCTAACCTGAATTGTTCATGCTAAACTGTACGATACCTGTGATTACTAAACAGGCCCACCCATTTCTTAAACTTAAAAATATACCGATTTAAGGTCATCACCTACCTAAGCCTGAACTGCAAAGGTGTCCATGCTCACACTTCATTCACAACAACAAACACACGGATACTGGAAAACGTTTCCGGGGCACCTCTGGTGCGTTTAGGAACCGCGCTGGAGCGTAGGCTTCCGTTGTTATGCCAAACGCACATTTCATTTTAAGAGTACAGTAGGCCTATTCATTAAGTCTTTAAGTTGATTTAGCTAGTCATTCAGTAAAACACTAGTAAATTATCTTATTAATCATAGTTCATAGTTTATGTTTTTCATTGACAAAAACACAAGCACATGAGATTTATAGGTCCTTTTGGAGTTGTTTTCAAACATCTCAGTTATCTTGACAGCTAACTTGACAGCGCTAAAAAAATATATATATATTAATCTAATACTAACATCAATTATTCTCTTTGTATGGCTAGCTCTCTAACCCTAGCGCCGCATGATACGTGAATGCACCGTGAACTCCCGTGTGTGTTTGTGAGTTCCTGAGTTCGACTCAGGTCGGGTTCCTTTTATATAGAGTTTGCATGTTTTCTTTGAGGCTACTCCGGCTTCTTCCCACGGTGATAAGACATCCAATTAGCGGGGTTAGACTAACTGATTGATTCTAAATTTCTCATAGCTGTGAATGTTGGGTTACTATGGTCACTATGGTAACTGCGAAAACGCTCCATCAGATTAAGGTATGCCAGAGTTCAAGGGAAATTTTAAAATTACGCATTGTTTATTTCATCATCAGAAAGGTGACAATTAAAAGGTTTTTTTTTTCTATACTCAAATTTCCATGCCATCATGGGTGTGATGACAATTCGGGCTAATTTTATATCATAAGGTCATGAACAAACATTAACAAACAAAGCCAGTCAAAGCCAGTAGCTGTATTGCATGAGGCATTTCTGGAAATATGAACATATTGAAGTCAATGAAAGTGTTAACATCATGTTTTGGTTGTTTTTCGTTGGGCTTTGCCAGTGATTACTCATCCTGATAGTTTCAATTATCGTTTGCTATGTCAAATCAAATTTGCAGTGGTTCAACCAATATTAAAAACAGCTAATAATAATTCAAAATATGGTATTTCTTTATCTACAGCTGGGATAAATGTGTAAATTATATTCAGTGAAATATATGTAACCTTGCTATTAAACATGGGCTGTTTCTAACATAAAAAGCAGAGTTTATAACACGATTTTCTTCAATGTAAAGATTAGTTTAAAATAATTCTTTAGCACTTCACTGATGGCCAGCCGTTCAGCGCACTTCGGGAAATAATCACGACCTTTTCCCCCAAGATGAGGGACTTTTCATCAATCCACTCTTATCTGTGTCCATCGACATAAAAATAATATTTTCCAAATGATGTCAAAAATTCCATATGATGAGTTTGGAAGCGGTGGATTTAGACTCATACACAGATGTTCACACATGGCTTGTATCAATTCAACTACGCAGTGAATTAAAAATATGTCGCTTGGTTAAATTTAGGAATTAAAAACTATACTACCTTGGGCTTAGAGAATATTAAAATTCAACAAATTCCCAAGTTTTAAATCTTTGTTTTAAACTTGGGAATCATCATGTTATCATGGTGACGCAACCCACAAAGCGTGTTCAGTGACACTAAAGACGTAGGGGAAAAGTGATAATTCGTGTCCACGGAAAAGCAATCATTTATTTAAAATAAATAAATAAATCTTGTCTCTTTGTAGGGTAATTGAGGTGATTACTGAACTACTTGTGCTTCAAAAGTTCTTATTTCTTACGCTTATTTCTTATACTGCTTGTCAGGGACCAAGGCATAGGACACAGGTGTTTAATTCAAAAGTTGGATTTTATTTATCCAAAAATATGAAAAATAATTGACAAAGCCAAAACCTTAAATAGGCAGACCAATAAAAGAGGTCAACTCAATAAACTCAAAATAACCACTAACAAAATCTCAAACAAAGATAAGAAAAACTGGTCTCCTGAAATGACGCAAGGGAACTTACTGGCTTAGCTAAATTATATGAAAGACAAGGGGAAAACAAAGTGGTTGCCATATAACCAATTAACACAAAACAATTAAACAAACTCCAAACACCCCCGAGGCAATGAAGCATGTGGTTTAGTCCAATGAGGCTGTCAGCGGTATTTCAGATCCCCCAGCCCTTTGCCAAACCTTTTGCCAACTGGAAAGGAGAAACAGAACCCCAGGTAACTCAGCCAAAGAAAGCTGCTGTACTATACCATAAAACAGAACTTTGGCCCTGCAGTGTTGATATGTGCGCAGTCCATATAAACCTTGGAAGGTGTGATGGAGAAAAATACATTTAATAAAGAAAAAATATATTGGACAATAAGTAAAATATATTTAAAGTATTGACTGCAGAGTAAACTAAAGTGAAGCAACTAGTGGTGAGTTGTGGAGCTTGCCATCACAGAAAGTGAATAGTGAAGTCGATCAGAAATCAACGTGGAGTGTTAAAAGAAATTATATATTTAAATAAATATGTATTTGTATCAAATTAAAGTGAAGATATTAAAATGAATGGCGCAGAAATAATAAAATGTGGCAGTTAATAGAAACTGTTATGATGGAACCATGATGGCTCTTCTTTTTTACAGAAAGGTATCCGTGGTGTTTCACCTGCATGTGTCGAAAAACTGTGGAAGTACGAGTTTATGATCCATCACTTGCAAACTCTGTGAAATGCAAGAACTCCCTCCAATTTTCTTTCTTTCTTTGTTTAAAAAAAATCATATTAAACTAAATATCTTTGAATCTTGGATTACTGCCTTGGTAAAACACCTGCACCTACCGGATGTGTTCCAATATTTTCTAATAAATAATTATTGCCATACAAATTATTTCTAAACGAAATATTTAGTGTGGATAATAAAAGTAATTGTTCGCTGCTACTGAAAATAACAAAGAGGACTGCACCATTTGATAACAGCACAAACCGACTATAAACGACCTGAGCAGGAGCTTTTTCTGGACTTTTATTCCTGGACAAAGTGTGATAAGAATTATGTGCATAATATGGTTTTCTCACAAGCCTAAAGTGATGAGCTGTAACGTTTATGCTTTTATTGGTCATGTCTTTGCCGTATTTTTGAGTGGTTCTCAAACCTTTTCTGGCATGTCCTCTCCCTCCCCCTACAGTTAAAAGTAATAATAATAATAATAATAATAATAATGATAACGGTCGCCTTGATTACACCAACACACTCTTGTTTATTTCCCCTATATCATAAGTTTAATCAGCTTGGTTTCAGTTCATATTCTTCCCCTGGTCGTGTCACAGTGAGTGCCTATAGCATCGCGTGGTTTAACTGCGCAGCCACAAGTTAGAAGTAATTAATCCCAGCAACAACTAGGACACACAGAAGTGGGACTGTGCGTGATCCAGGGGTTTACATAGCAGCGTATGTTGACGTTGTTCAGGGGGAAATCTCCCATAGCAGCGAGAACATCAAAGCAACAGAGAGTGTGTGAAAGAGATGGTTGACCCGCAATTTTCGGATCCTCTGTCTTGTTAATCTTTCTCGATTGGACAAAAACGCCATATATGTGTTTATCCTATCAGCTGAGGATGAGCTATTTGACAGAGGTAGGAGCTTAATGCATTTTTCTGCTATTCTGAAATAAAGTCTCTAACCAAAGCTTTTTAATTGACAAATAAACCCATAGATGGTCAGTAAATGTAATAGCAGGACCAAATCATTAGTGTTTGTGTGTTTTCGCAATAACGTTGAACAGAAATGGGAAAGATAAAGGAAGTGTATATCTTATGTCTTCCCTGAACTTTTTCTTTCTCAGAAAAAAAACAGACGATTTGGTTTTTCTCTGGTAGTGAAGAGGGGCAGATCATGGACACAAACGGAAAGTTTGCCCAATAAGAACTCACCTCGTTATCGCTCTGAAATACAAAGGTTACTCTCACTTCCTCGCCAGATGTGAAACTTTGATTAGAAAGACTTTAGTTGGTGTCTTTTTCCTTGTAATCTTTCGCACATAATAAGTGAAAAATGTGGTCATTGTGAATGATTTGATATTACACGATTAAAGCGACCCATAAAGGGGAAGACATGAACATTGTCAGACTGAATAACATTGTTGCTAACCTGGATTTTTTCTTTTGTCTTTCTTTCATTGTATTGTTTACGGCGCGGGACATCTTGGGCTCTTTAGCGTCATGGTTTAAAGCCCACAGCCTGCCGACCCGAGTATTTTTGCTAACCGTGTACCCATCTTCTGATAGCTGATGGCAGCAGCCTTATCTGAAACATGACAGTGAGTTCACTGTACTCAAATGGCCTCCACAGCCACCAGATCTAAGTCGAGATTCGGGATGATGGAGAATCACATCGTGGTTAAGCAGCCGCAACAACTATTTGATGCTATCATGCCGATATGAACCACAATCTTTGATAAATGTCACCTTCATCTTGAGGTTTATATGACACGAAGAATTAAGACTGTGCTTAAGGCACACAAAGGAGGGCTCAACCAGGTCTTGTGCCAAAGAGTGACAGTCTGCAAATAAAAATAAAAATGACGTTGTTGTCCTATAACCTGTCAAACAAATGCCAAACACATCTCTCATGAATGATATCAAGCCATTTTTAATCAAAAAGAACATTCCTATCACCAACCAGTTAGTTTTACATATTGTTTTTATTTATCTGGTAAAAAGTGAAATTGATGTTAAAATACTTCTTTCAAGAGAGATCCTGCCAAGAGGGCGGCAATATAGAATTCATATAAAGATATTTTATGTGCCCAAAAAGGCTTGGTTGATTATAAACCTAAAAAGTAGGTGTTGTACAACAACGCAGTCACAAATAGCTAAACTTGCAAAACAGGTAATTTCTTTATTTTATATATAACATATATATTTAACATATATACATGGCATTTATTAACATGAGCAAAGATATTAGAAACAACAAAATCGCAAATCACTTTCAGCAGGCACAAGGCTGGTACGAGTGAGGTGTCCCCGGTTAAGTGACCTGTGAATGCAGTTTTCCCTTTGAGGGTAACAGCATGACTGTGCCCCGATGTGAAACTTTGATTAGAAAATGTTTAAGCGAGTTGGCCTTTTTCGCTTGTAGCCTTATCACAAACAGTAAAGCATGAAACTGTGGTGGCGCTGACTAATTTCATATGATGTGTAATTAGAGCAACTCAATAATTAAAAAAGGGAAAGACGTGGATTTTGCAAGCCGACGAATATCATTGTTATGATCGGAGTTTCGCATTCTTCCAATGAATTCGACCTGAATTACCTAATGCGTTTCCTGTCTTCCTGTTGCGTAGTTAATTGGCTCACACCTGAGAGGGAAGCCCTTGGGAAACCCTGCATTGAGTCACAAGTTAAAAGCATCCCTCGCGCTCTCATTCTCAAATCACACTCAGACGGGGCGAGTTCTTTTTAACAGACGATATTTAAGGTCCCAGCACCTCTCTCACAGAAAGGATCTCACAGCACAGGAGGCAACTAACTAACCATGGCGCACTCTTTTACTTTTGCTGTTCTCTCTTTAATGTTTTTTTCCACCGCGTCTGCTGCTCCAGCCGGGCATCAAGAATCCTGCATTGACGTACAGACCAGTTCGCTGGAACTTAATAAAATTGCTAGAAATGTATCTCTGGAGGTGAGTTGTTCAATTTTTTCCCCCAAGCAATTTCTTAATTTCGCCTTTTTAACCACTAGTGGAGGGGAAAACAAACTTTTTACTGCGCATTTGGAATATGTTTTGCTCACTCAAACGCATGCTTAGACGATGCCAAAGCAATAAACACATTTAAAAAGTCTAGTTTTAAAGTATGAAAGGTTTTCTCACAGGAGATACATTACATTGTACCACGATGTGCTCATGCTCATACCGACTGTTTCCAAATGTTCTGCAGGCACGAAAGGGATTAGTTACGAGGGAAGAGATACAATTTAGCACCTTACTTGTGTGGATGAACTCAAAAGACATGTGTGATCCTGGGACCCTCAAACAGGAATCTCTGGTAATATCACCTATAAGAATTATAAACTGTGACATGAATTTAATTGAACTGATATTGACATAAATCTGTGACTTCAAAATACGATATGTTATCTGATTAGGTGCGATTTCTAATCCTTTTTGTCTATTCTTCGTCCTTAGCCATGCTTTGGGAAGATCATCAAAGTCCTTGACCGTTACAGAAGTCTGGTGAGGAGGATTTCTGAATTTGAAAGCTGCTCAGAGTTTGCCAGCCAGGTGGTGCCAGTGATAAATAAGCTGCACACTGACGTGACGAAGTGCGCTGATTCGAAGGGAGAATGGGGAGCAGTGGTAAGTTTGGTCATCAAAGTATTTGCTTTTGACAACAGCACTGATACAGCATGGTTACTGATCGGTCTGATTCTGCAGGATCTAGCCGTCGAAGAAGTAACAATTCCGGAGTGGGAGAAGCCGTATCTGTGTCACTACATTCTGGACAGACTCTTCTCCTTCTCCATCTTCACCGCTCGCGTCCTTTCAGTTGGAGATCCGGCTCACCACACAGAGGGAACGACTCAGAAATGCATGTAGAACCTCACAGTATTTTAAATACTCAATGTATTGAGCATCTTTTAAATTGATCACAGTGATCGCAGTTTGTAGTGCAGTTTTCTGTAGTTAATAATTTATCGATTTTTAATGATCTTTCCGAAAGGTTTGATATATTTATTAAAGTTTTTATTTATTGTATTTATTTTATTCATAATAATCAATGGATACTTAATGTATTCACCACTGTATTTTTCATTCAAACTGTATACAATATTTATTATAATAAAAACTGCTACGCATGATAACGTGTTTTGACCCTTAAATTTATTTATATATATATTATTTATCCTATGGCGATTGTTCTTTTTGCCCAAACGATCACAATAAATGCTTACTCATTCAGGAAATTTATGAAGTTACCTGCGCTGAGGTATCCCTCTTCTCATTGAATAATTTTGAATAATAATGTTATGGTGCTAAAAGGAAGCTGTGCTTTCCTAAAACATTCCTGCTGCACTACTTCCTGCATATTTCCTCCCAGTCAACGCCTCTGCTCAGACCTGTTTGTTTGCATTCAGATGATGCAACGCATGTACAGCGGTAATTCAAAGAAAGGGGAAAAGAGAGAGAGAATGTGACACCTTTTTAAGGGGAAGAGGAAGTATTAATGAGCGTAAAGGCACTATAGGCTGCTCAACAAGGAAGTCTCTCCTACTGTGAGTGATTTGATATCCTGAAATTATTCCGCCTCCCTCGTGTCCCACCCACCTGCACTCTTTGTGAGTTCGAAACTCCATACTCTACAGTTTCCATCCACTGCTGGAGAGCACAACTTATTTTCCTGGCTCTCGGAGCACATGAGGAAATTATTTACCTATTGAGCACATTTGCAAAAACTGAAATGTTCAAGTAATCACGTCAAATATAACACACAAAGAAAAATAACAGATGTGAACCCACATACAGCATTTAAGGTGCTACACTAATCAGCAATGGATGCTTTTGATGTCTGTGGGTAGGATCAGTTTTGTTTTTTGTTTTTTTAAAATCACCTGCATGGTTTATTGTTTGAGACGTGACGTTTACTCTGCAGAGGATTTGTGATGCAATCAGGAAGTTCAGAAATGTTACGATTAGTCACTCGAGAGATTTTGTAATTACGGTTATAATTTAAAAAAAATCCTGGGCGGTGTATTGAAGGGATTAGGTCAAAATTATTTCCTTTAAAAAAATCTTGAACCAATTAGATTGCAAAATGAAAAGATCACCAAACACGACACAATATACTCATGGCAATCAGATGTAATCACATGATTTATATACAATAATTCAAGCTTTTCCTTTTGATAACGCTTAGACTGGGGAACTTCCAGTGATGCACTGAGCATTTCTTTCCTTTTCCCCTCATTCATCATGCATATTATTAACTCCTGTCTTCTCTCCCCCTAAGTCCATTGCTTTATGATAAAAATCTAAAATGTAAATGTTAAAAATTTCAGTCTGGATTGAAGAGCTGCCAATGTGACTCAAAATGTTTTGTTTTGTTTTTGTTTTTTGCTTTTGCGCACCAGTATCAAAACAGCAACTGTTTGAGTCTGTTATTTTGCAGAAACTGAAGATTTTCAGTTATTCCTTCCCACCTTTGGAAAGGACAGCTCAAGTTAATCAATAGAATTACTGCTGAAAAAAAACAAAAAACAAAAAAACTAGATGGCTGTGTAAAGATGTTTGACCATACTGGAACATATTGTACAGTCTTTCTTTATTTATTTAAACTCAAACAGCAGCTGTCAAAACAGCAGCTCATGATCCACTTTTTTTTCTTTTTTTGTCCATACTGTGAGTGTGCTCTATTATGTTGCAAACACTTAAGCTGTTCAGTGTCCCTGATTCTGAAACGCTCGTCGTTTATGACAGGGGTCCCCAATCCCAGTCCACGAGGGCCGGTGTCCCTGCAGGTTTTAGATGTGTCCTTGATCCATCACAGCTGATTTAAATGGATAAATTACCTTCTCAACATGTCTTGAAGTTCTTCAGAGGCCTGGTAATGAACTAATCATGTGATTCAGGTGTGTTGACCCAGGGTGAGATCTAAAACCTGCAGGGACACCGGCCCTCGCGGACTAGGATTGGGGACCCCTGGTTTATGATTATGTCGATTGGTCAATCAGAGGATTCTTAGATTAGCCTTTATTGTCTCCCTTGGGAGAAATTCACCTTGGTCAAATGAGGCAAACATGTCATCTAAGAGATCAGACACATAGAAATCCTCATTACCACATGCAGCCACCCATTGCCATTTAATAATATGATTGATAATGGCACTATAGAAAATGTGGTTTGGTCAGTGGTTGTTGATCAGTGGTCATGAGAATTTGCATAATCATGATGAAGGAACTGACCACCCAGCCCATTGTTCCTTCAGTGGGCTGGTTTCAGTCACTATGCGAATGTACTGTTTTTAAGATTTGGGGAAACCTGCAGTCAGCTGAGACTGAAGAAGTCACTTGGATGAGTGACGAAATGTTTCTGCCACTGAAAACGCTTCGTCCACATGAACAGAATCAACTTTTGGAGAGTGGGGTTTCTACAATCCATTCAAATTTGGCTTACATTCACTGAGAATTTCAAGGTCAGCTTAATTTATTTAATTTAGTTGTCAAAGATTTGAAAACAAAATACATTGTAAGACTTTTTTGCCAATATATACAGATATATTAAAAAAACAAAATGAATTTGTGATCAAAAACTTTATTCACCTGATATTTACTAAAAATGTAAGCAAATTTTACTAAACATTAAAATTAATGCTACACATTTACTATATCCACAAAAATAACAAATAAATATACTCAAAATTATGTCAGGTATATTAAAATAGGTTTCAACAGAGCAAATAACAAAAGCTTCTACTGTGTGCTTCTTTTTACTGCACTACAAACTCCTTAAAGTATATGTAAAAAGAACAAAGAAAACAAAATGAACATGTCCATAATACAATAATTCATTTACTACTATAAAAGTAAATACTGCCCAGAAAGGGACCTGTGTTGGCGGATATTTGTGCTCTCAGAGTGCTTCTTGTTTAATTGTGTGAAAAAAGTGTGACGCTTAAATTCATCAGAACATAGTGTACGGTAATCGTGTGGTAAATAGCAATGACATCACTTCTCTTTTTATTTATTTATTTAATTATTTAACAACATGCACATGCTACTGGGAAACAATATCCTCAGGATCCTCCAGCACTTGGAAGGGGGAAGTGGTTTGAGTGCAGTGATGTAGTGAGTCAGAAGGAGATAAACACTGCAGCCAAAACAGAAAATCTCCAAGTGGTAATTGTTAGCATATATGTGAACAGTTTGGCCACACATTGCAGCAGAGACCATGATGTGGCCACCTGTAAATATAAGTAGTAGTAGTTTGTTTTTGTTTGTTTGTTTCTTGGGGGGGGGGGGGGGGCCTCTGCCTGTCCTAAATATGGTGTTTGACTTGGACAAACTCAGACACATTAACAGTGCTGGGAGGTAGTCAGATACATATTATATTTGACTGTGTTGACATTTCCTACTCTTTTTACTATGTTAATACAATAAGAATAAAAGAAAACTGAAGTTTTTTTTTTTTTTTTGTGGTCTCAAATGATAAAAGTCACTGGGATTCAGTAAGGATGCATGCACAGACTGACATACCTTGGAGGAGGTATGGAGCCATATCTGACAATTTGGCCAATTATGAAACAAACATTTCCCCCCTCTGTGTGAAACTGAAAAACAATTCTAGCAGAAAATGACAAAACCTCCATTTCTCAGTATATTTCTTGGTGCTTCATTTTCCTTTCAGTGCTTTCCATCATATTCAACAAAATCTGCCAAGTTTGTGACTTTCTGTTGACTTGTAATTTTCACCGATGGGCATAGCATTAGAGAGGCTAACCTTCATTTTACTGCAATAAAAATCCTTCCCTTCACAACCATTGGGTGGAAGCCAGACTTTAGAAAAGTGCATGGTCATCCAAATATGGGACACTTAGAGAAGGACATCTGGTCACCTTAGCTCTGGCTTCAGTATTCAAGCCAGTGCCGCTGTTAGTTATTTGATCCATATTTCTTTGAGGACAATGAATGTCTTTACAAAATTTCAGTCTAGACCAAAGAAGAGGTTCCTTAGAGCTGCTTGCTTTTGGATAGACATTCTCTTATTCTGAGCCCCTCTATGACTTCTCATTTACATCATCCCCTAAAATGTACTGATAAATATACATTTTCCACTCAAAAAAGTTTGTCAGAACACCCTGAACATTCAGTCAGTGGTCATTAGGAATAACATGATTTGTGCTTTTTAATTGTTTTCACACAATGCTGGGAAGCAACCACATCAGAGTGACATAACAGGTAACAGCACTTCTGCTTTATTTCTCTTCAATCATTCTACTCATTCCCGCTCTCCAAGACGCTTCCCTTACTGCACCATCAGACTCATCAAATCAAGGTTGAATTTCCACACTTGAGTTTACAGCTCATTGTTAAGTACTAAGTGATTATAACCCATCAACTGCTGCAGATGATCAGACAAATTCTGTGTGGACAATTCAACTATTGTTTAATAAGGGCAAATAAAAGACTCAGAGGTAAATATTAAATTTCCCTAAAGAAAAATGTCTGACGCAGCAAGCTTAAGTTTTTCAGAATATCCGAGACATTCAGCCAGTTCAGTAACAACATCACTTCCGTTTTCTCCTTTTTTACACAGCTCTCGTGCTACTGAAGAGGAGTCTCCTCAGTGTGACAGAATAGCAAACAGTACTTCTGACTTTGTTCCCACTGGCATAGGCTTACTTATTTCCCTCCTAAGAGGTATTCCCATTTCCATAAAATCAAGCTTGTTAAATTAAGAATGAATTGCCACACTTATACTTAAACACTTTACTGCTCTGAGCATTCTGAAATCACAATGCATCAACAGCAGCTACAAAGAGATTCTCTGTTTACTTCACTTCAGCTTTATAATAGGACTGCACTGGAGTTTACCCAATGGCTAACTCAGTTTTCACAAAGTAAAAGAGATCAATAAATCATAATATAAGCCCATTTTATGAGTTCTGCATTCAATAAATAAAATCTTAATAGGCTATATCAACTGGAATCATCAGAAGTACTCATTATGCAAAATTATGTTTTTTGAAGCTTGGTGGGATTAATAAGTCACGGGGCTCTGGCACAAAAAATACGCTCCAACTGATCGACTCACCCAACTCTTTGCTTACTGTGGAAGGGGCATGCATTGAATCACAAAGCTTGACTAAAGGAAATGAAATAAAAAAATATGCATCTATTAGAGACCTGAAACTGATGTTTATGTAAAAACAAAAATAAATGATTAAATAGAGAAAAGGATGGTCAGGTGACTGGCTTACTTCCAGAGCTTTTTTTGCAGTTGTGTTGTGTAAAAATAATACTAATAATAATTATCCTTTTATGTGTCAAGATGATTATGACTGCTGGTGCCTGTGAATCAAGCTCATGGTGAATCAACTGATGATTGTAAGACCGTCACTGCAGACAGTCTTACAATCAATCATCAGTTGTACAATCAGTGTTGTCTGGGTTCAGCTGATGAGCATATTTCTCTTTCTCACTATATTTATAATATAACATAAATGCTATAAGAGTCAAAGCATTTGCCCTTTTGACTGCTCAAACCAAAAATGCAGGTTAGTGATGACTGATATCTAAAACCTGCAGGACACCGGCCACTGAGGCCTGGAGTTCGACACCTGTGACTGTTAAACAAATTCACAAACTTGATACTAAGAAAACAAATGCAACTTAACAAGATGTCAAAGTGAAATAGATATCGAGTTTAACTCTCGATTTATCAGCATAAACTTGATGGTCTTAGGGAAAAAAATACCACTTCCTTTCTCAAGTGAGAGCTGTGCATTCACAGCCGGACTGAAACTGAAGTATCTGCTCAGAAGGAACAGAGAATCAAAACAGGCCATTTGTATGACTCAACTGAGCAATTGCTCTTCACAGAATAAATTCAGATCCTCCAAGTGAAGACATCCTGTGTTCAAGGATTAAAAAACAATAAGTCTGTGAACTAAGAACATCAAAGTAGCTGGGACCTTCCTGTGAATTCACAAGGTTCCTTTCCAGTAGTCCAGTCTTCCTACACAGTCCATTCATGTGAGGCTAACTGGATGTGAGGTAAATAAAGTGCATAATGTGTAGAACAAAGTACGGTATAATCAAATGAATGTATCACTACATGGTTAAATGTGGCCACTTCATACTACAGTATAAAGCATTCTGGGTAGTCAGAAAGTCTAGAAAAGACTATGAATGTCAGTTCACTCCATTTATGTATTATTTTTAATTTCATGGCAAAATTAATCAATGCCCACGATATCATAGAAGCTAAGAGTGTAATTCTGTAGTTCACTGGTGGCTTTGTACAAAAAAATAGACAAAGATATAGCTCAGAGTTACAAATGGAAAACATACTGAGCTGCAAGACCCGTTTGTAGAAAACATGATTATATTATTCATCTCTATAGTAGAAAAGAGGAATACAAAGGTTACCTAGTCATAGTTTTAAAGTAATTTCCAATACTAGCTTCATAATACTTTTACACTAGACTAATATTTCATCTGCTGGCAGAGTGGTTTAGTTTTACTGCATAAAACACTGTCAGCTATGAATATTTAAAATTCAGTTTCACTGCGTTCCTAAACAGCACTAAAACTAAATATTTATGTAAACCATAAATAAGAATTTGGGGTTAATTAAGGGTGATTTGGACAGATTTTAATGTCCTGCTATTACAACACAAAACAAAAATATATAAATGTATTAAAGAGGATGACTTATTTGAAGGAAGTCAAGTGAATTTTGATGACACCTGACGATTGCATTCAGTCGATGATTTCTTGAAAGGGAAAAAAGTTGTTTGTATACCGACTATAGTTTCCCTTAAAAAATAAATAAACTGAATTACCGAGCACTGTTGATGAAAATATTATTGATTAAAAATTATATATTGGAAATACTTTACATATTGTTAGAAATAATATTTGAAGCCTTAGTATCAGAGCTAGCCTTCTTGCCTAGTAAACAAAAATCATTGGTTATAATTTAGGTCTTTTATCTTAAAATCTGTGAATTTTAGAAATGATATAATTTGTTATAATCTTTGGCTGCCATACATGAATTGTCTATTAAATATTATTCCCACACATACTAAATTATGATTTCTACAGGCATCCAAATCTACCTTCAAAGACCAAACATCCAAATATCTTAGGGACTTCCATCCATCATGCTGCAGTAACTTTAGCTACATTCCCAAGATTCCACATTAATAAAGCCAGGAAACCTTCCATTTTTTTCCTATTTCTTTTTGTTTATTTTGTTTTACAATTCATATTAAATGTACCTTTTTCCCTTTTTTTTCAATATTTTGACAAGCTGTGAGGAGGGAAATTTTTTATTAAACACGATGAACTGAGATGGAATTACCCTCATCTGTTTGATGTGAAAAGGTCATATCATGTCCTCCTGAGAACCGAGGAAATCTTTCGGTTTAACTCTTTTGTCCACTACAGAGGACATAATGAATAGACTGGGTCTCAGAAGGACATGATCATATCATATTCTGAACGTGTAACCTAAGCCAAAAACTTTTTTGGAAACATCTGGGTGGTTTGAACAGCAGATATTTATCATTGGCTTACACTAGGTTAAGTACTTTTTTGTACAGTTCCGTTCATACTTAGTTTATAGAGTTTTTTGGTCATAATAGTTCATGTAATCATGTTTTTATCATTATGAATTTGAACTCAACTTTCATTTCTTTACTGTAAAAACAACGCTCTTACCAATAGATGTGTGACTAGGTATTTGTCATGTCATGGCTTCCATCCTCACTTTAGAAAGACCCACTGTTATCATTTGTGTCCTGTTGCAACCCAGAATGGGGGAAAGATCATTACCTTATAAAACCACCTGAGAAATGGCCAATCAACATGCTAATAACTGAAGTTGGAATGGGCATGATGCATTATTTCAAAAATAAATAAATAAAATGAAATGAATAATAAAAGAAGGCTACTTCTTACAGATTTTCTGATATGCACTAGAAATTGAATTATATTCTTGTTGTTGTTTTAGAGGTTGTTTGGTGTTCCTTTTAAGATGCAGTGGGTCACATCGACATGGTCCTTTGGCTTGTATTTTGCCTGTATATTGTTTATTTGATAAATGAGAGAAGGTACTTTTGGCTGCTTTTTTGGCCCAGAAGCTAGCTTGTGACCCCCTGGGGATTTCTAGCAAATGTGTTATTCACTACACCAGCAAGTGTTATTATTTTATTGTAACGTTGGTCCAATATGGCTGTAGTTAGCATGAATCCTGAAAAGAGGGTTAGAATATCTCATCTGACAACATTCAACCAGTTCATGAACCTTTTGTTGTTGATCTGGTGTCGGCACATATGAAGACCCACTGATATAGAGTCTGTTGAATACTTTTCTATTGCACGGGTGATAATTACTTGGTTTGGATGATCTAATATCATGTTCCTAAGATAGAGATGATGATAAGAAAATTTACTGGTTTCATCATGTTCACTATAATCACTTATGTAATATATTTGATTAAAACTAGCTTGTGTCATTTTCCTCTGCTTTTCAAAGTCAACTTCCTCTTTGATCCTTAACCACTACAACATGTCATGTCACACTGATGAGAACATTATAGTGACTCTAGTGGCTTAACAAAAACATTCCACTATCAATCATCGGACAAGAAAACCAAACCTATTATTACTGTGCTTTTCAATCTTATGTTCCCTAAATTCACCCCATTTGTTGATTGTTAGTGTGAGAGTTATTGTTAATCTGCAGAGGATATTGTGCTGACTATTTAGATTAGTGCATACAAACTCACTACATACTTTATTAGTACACCTTGCCAGTACTGAGTCAGAGCCCCTTTTGCCTTCAGAGCTGCCGTCTTTGTGACTGAGATTCAAAAAGTTCCTGGAAACATTTACAGATTTTAATCCATAGTGACAGGATAGCTTAATGTAGTTGTTGCAGATTTATTGGCCGCATATCCATGATGTGAAAACCTTTTATTTCACCACATTCCAAAGATGCTCTACTGGCCTGAGTTCTGGTGACTGTGGAGGCAATTTCCATGCAGCGAATCCTGCTGGAAGCAGCCATCAGAAGATGGGTACACTATGGTGATAAAGGGGTGAACATGGTCAGCAACACTACTGATTCAGAGTGTGTTTAAATGATGCTCATCTTGTACTAAGGAGCCCAAAGTGTAACAACAAAATATCCCCCACACCATTACATTACCACCACCCTGAACTGCTCATAGGTTTAAGTTATTTACCCTATTTTTGACCCCTCCAATCCATCTGAAAACCTTTTCCAATCTTTCATTATCCAATTTTGGCGAGCCAGTGTCCAGCAGGCAGCAGGTAACAAGATCCCTAAACAAAAAGAAAAAGAGTCACGAGGGAAACTGACAAACAGTATGACATGAGAAGAAACTGAGACAAAAGTAAACACAAGGAAATCAAGGAAAGTGGATGCTGGAGAGCGACAAGATACGGCTAAAACTAATTACACAAGACAAGAAGGTCAAACTGAACACAAGGCACAATAAAACATGACTATCAAAATAAAACATGAAAATGGATACAGGGATCTTAACTGTATACAGGGAACACAAGGGAGGCAGGATAAACTACAAGAAGGAATACAACACTAACAAACTGCTACCACGGGGGGAAAAAAAACAAGATGGCAAATCAAACTGCACGAGTATATAATTCACAAACTCAACTTACAAAAGAGAAAACAAATGCTCTCCGATAATAGGCAATAAAAGGCATAATAATAATTCAGAATAATTATAGGAAGGCAAACTTAAGAAACCAACTGAAGATATTTAATAACAAACAGAATGTGAAAGCTCAAAAACCACAAAACTGTGTAAGATGACAAAGTGGTTATTTGAGTCACTGTTACCTTCCTCTCAGCTTAAAGGAGCCTGACCGCTATCCCATAACTTCTGGCATCAAGAAGGAATTTACCCACAGAGCTGCTGCTCACTGGATACTTTCTGTTTTTCAGACCATTCTCTGTAAACCCTTGAGATGATTGTGTGTGATAATTCCAGTAGATCAGCAGCTCTGGAAATACACAAGCCTATTTGGCACCACATCAAAGTCTGTTACCTTACCTTTTTTCTGAATTTTGGCGCTCTGGTCGTCTTGACCATTTCTACATGCTCAAATAACGCCGTTGCTGCCGTGATTCTTAATTACATTGATGTGTTAAGAAGCAGTGGAACAGTTGTACCTAATGAAGTGCCCATCGAGTAAGTGTATAAAGGTTTTTTTTTTGTTTGTTTTTTTGTTTGTTTTTTTGTCCATGTGCGTTCCTGAAAGATGATCTTAAAGCTTCTGCATGCCTGCAGCCACCCTGATATCTAGGTAGTTATATGGGAATTAACAGTAGCACTAAACACATTTACTGGGGCATCTCGGGAATTTCTTGGACAGCTGATCTTTAGTGTACCTCTCACAGTTTTCCCCTTTCACCTGTTTACCTGCCGTTGTTAAAGACAGGCTGGAGTTTTGACAGAGGAACCAGTCCAGCTCAAGCGAAGGCGGGGTTAAGAAGACAAAACAAGGAATTTCCTGGTGAGCTACGACAACACAGGAAGGTAAAGTTTTCTCCGGTGAAATGTAGCGCTTTAAATCTAGAAATACCACACGAGCTAGATTTGTTACTCACCGCACGACGGAATCGGTTTACGTCCTCAGTGCTTACGTATCGTGTGAAACGATTAATTGTAATTAAAGTACATTTAAACTGGTGTTAGCTTGTCAACCTGTAGGTAGCGGCTGTTAGCTAGCCCGCGAACGTCACGTGACTCGTATTTAGTTAAATAATATACTCGAAAAGTCTGAGCATTTTCTGAAAGGTTGTCTGTGTTGTTCTTGTGGTATATTTAACACTGTTCGAGTCTAAGGAGTCTGAAAATTGCGGTGAGACGACTGAATGTTGGCCCACTGATGTTGGGGACGGCTAAAAGAGGAAGCGTGTGTTTTGGTAACCAGAAGAACTCAGTCGGGTGGAGTCATTTTTCCCATAACCTCAACATGCTAGTTATGTTGACCACATCTAGCATGATAAGGCTTTGGTGCATGTGCTTTGTTGCATCTACTTTGAGAGGAAGCGTGTATTTTGGCAGCGAAACAAAATTCATAACAAGTCATTTTTCCCCCCAGCACTTTTTCCCAAAGCCTCATCATGCTGCTTACGTTGACCACATCTAGCACGATAAGCCTTTGGTGCATCTACTTGAGAGGAAGCGTGTATTTTGGCCACCAAAACAAAATTCGTATTAAGTGTTTTTTTTTTCCCCCCCAGCGCTTTTTTCCAAACCCTCATCATGCTAGTTGAGGCTTTGGGGATTGTGTGCATTTGAAACTGTCATGCCTGCATGACTTTGAGTCATCCGCACCAACAAAGTGCTGTGTTTGCAATGTGACATATACTCTGAACTTCTTTCATTTAAATTTTAAATGCCCCTGCAAAGCATGTTTTAAGAAAAGAAAAGAAAAAAGATTAACGCGAAAGTTGCACAAGAAAGCCCACTCTGGAAACTAACTGGAAGTTAACGAGATTATAAACAAAAGGCAAATTGATACACTTGACTGAAATGTCAAAGTAGGGTTATTCCATCTCAAATCGTCACTTTTTTTGTAATATTTCTTTGTTAAATTAGCTCCGATTTGAGATTGAGATCTAAGGCAGTGTTTGAACATGGATATATAAAAAATAAGACAAAGGTTTGAAATGCTCACTCGCCTCTGTTACCTTGAATTAAGATCTCTGATTTGATAAAATACATTTAAATATCAAGTAGTCCTGCAAAGTCCCACATGAATAAAAAAATCACTTTGCAAAAATTAACTAGTGAGAACCTCTGAATGGTATGCAATTGAATTTCACACTAATGCAAAATAAAACTTTTTAGCATAAAAAACGTCACAGAAATGAAGACAATGCTATTTTCATTCAACTGTCATTGTGGATTGAGCAGTTTTATTAGAATTCTTGCAGCACTTATTCTTGTACAAAAAATTACAATCAGTAATTACATTCAGTTTGATGGTAAAAGAGGCTAGTGAACATTTTTTACTTCTATCTTTAAAATTTTTGAGAGATTCATGTTCAAACATTGCTCAGGTTTGAAAGTCTGAATATGCTAGAAGCATGTTAACGAGCCATTTAGCTGGCTTTGTAGAAGAAGGAAAGTTTTGGGGGTTTGTTTTTTTTCCTACCAGAAAACATTGTATAGCAGGTTATTAATAATTTGTCACATTTGAACTTGAATTTGAGCCAGACATCGGCCAGGTTGGCTGATACTACAGGTCAGTGGAGAACAGTTTGAACTGTTAGGAAGGCAACAATAACTTAAAAAACAAGTTACTACATCCAGAAAAGCACCTCTGAATCCACAACACGCAGGAAAACAGACAAAGACACGCTGTGGAAGAGAGCAGGGGATTAATAATAACGAATAATTAAACACAGAGAGGTGTTGCTGGTGTTTTGGTGTGGGGGTGTTTTCATGCCACATTTCGGTTGATTTGTGCCAACTGATATGGCGGCTCTGACAGGTCAGATGCACTGCAACCTAAAAAACACCAGTGAATAGCAAAATGCTGCAAAAGCACACAAAAACACAAAGGTTGAATAAAGCACAACAGAAATTGAAACCAAAAAAAATCCAACTTGTAAAACACAAGTGTTTTGGGGAAGACAAAATGACAGAACAATTGCGAGATTGAATTCCAGTGCTTTTTCTGTGCTTGCGTAGAATTTCTCTATTTGCTGATCTTTTATTATGTTGTGTTGCATTCGACCTCTCAGGGTCGCTGTAACAGAGCATCATTTAAATGACATAAGCAAAAGAGAATGTACCCCTCCTCTGATAGCTGCTTCCAGAAAAGCTGAAAAGAATCTCCAACAGAGTCACCAGATCTCAATGCAAACACCAGCTTTGGGATGTGGTAAAAAAATGGAGATTAACATCATGGATATGCACCTGACAAATCTGCAGCAACTGCAGGAAGCATCACGTCAGTATGAACTCAGGTCTTTGAGGAATATTTTCTAGCACCATGCTGAAATTAAGCCACAAAGAATTAAGGCAGTTCTGAAGGTGAAAGGGGTCCAACCAGTATTCGAAAGGTGTGCCTAATAAAGTGAATGGTACATGAATAAAGTGAAACCAAGTGAAGGGTTTTTGTATGTGAATAGTTCATATAATGTGAGCATTTTCAGGACTTTTTACAGCTTAAACAAAGAGGAACATTTGGATGATGATGAATGTATAATTTGTTTGTAGTGGTCTATCTTGTTTCAGATCAGATTGGGCTGTATAGGGGCCATAAACCACCTCTTGAAATTTAGACTTCAAGAAAGAGGGACTTCCCCCAATTAAATGCCTCCCACAGGGGGGATTTCTACACTTTGGTGGGTTATAGCCAGTTCTAGATATAATACAACCTGAAAAAGACTGATTTCAGAGGTTTCAACAGATAACCGATAACCTGAAGCTTGTGGATTTGAGTCATTGTTGAGATATTGGCTTCTCTGAGATGACCGAAAAACTTTTTTTTTACCAGTGCTACTGTAAGTGAGCTAGCTTACTTCCAGTAAAAGGAAATAATTAATGAGTGTCCACTAAAACAAAATAATTTCACAGAGCATCTCTTCAAAGGCAGGGAGAAAAAAAGTGTTAATAAGATAAGCAGATAAGCTTCTTTACACATTATTAGGCTGTTCTTGTTCTTCGATGCCATAAGTAACTTCTAATTGAAAAGTTTATACTTGTTACCTGTATGTGACCACAGTTAGGGCTGTGCAATATGACCAAAATCTCATATCCCGATATAAGAATTCTATCGTCCGATAACGATATAAATCACAAAAATGTAACATTTTCTGTGAATTCTGTGAATCTCGGTCAGCTCGACTTGCTTGAAGTGTTTCCAGCTGCGCGTCATGTAGCTGGAGACGAGTGTTTTAACCGATGCATGAAAGATACATTTTTAGACATAAGTTGTAACAGCCGCCGTTTTCTTTGTGAGTATTTATTACACAGCGTGCTGCGGGGAAAAGCCTGTTCTAACGTTTGAGTCTAAGGTTTATTTTTTAGCACCTGTCGGCTCTTTTTTACTTCTCATCCGTAAATAATCTGCTCTTTCACGTGATTCAGTTTATTTTGAAAAGTCTCAACAGGATCTTGAGCTTTATTGTGAAAGGTTTATGTGGTACATAAACACGTAGACACGCGATGGTGTTACCGTCGTTGTTGCTAACCACAACATAAAAACATGCGCTTGTCGGTCTGTAGTGTGGTTATATTAAATATAAGAGAAAGAGAGAACTTTAAGAAATTAATATAGCCACTACAGGGACCATCAAAACGGTGAAAAAATATTGCCGTAAACAGTTTATTTTGCGACACCACGAAACAAACGATAGCGTAAAATGAAACATAGACGTTTTTATATCATCATCCGATATATATCGTTATATCGAACAGCCCTACTTGTTACCTGTATGAAGTTGACTGGGCTTAATATTATTAGATTCAGTTAATTGTGTGGGGGATTTTCCCACATTATAAGTGCTATATTTGCAAGATTGCGTCACATACAGTTTGCACAGTCCTGCACTGATGAACTAAAATTAGTTTTGATAGCCCTGCTTCTTTTTATATGAATGAAATGAGTAGCTAACATGACAGAAAACATTTCCATGAAAAAATATGGACCCACCCCTTACCTCCTCAAAATCAGCAAAATATCTTTCTAAAATAATCTAAGCATATTATGAAAGCATTTAAAACAGTCACAGACCCTTGGAGGTCATAGAGGACATAGTGGGAGGGTAAACATTTTGTACTTTTTAATTGGTGTGTAATTTTATCTCTTATATTGAAGAAGTTATAAAATATACAAAAATAATTTGAATTAAAATAAGGATTTCATCTCTCTCCCTACTTAGCATACTTCATGCTGCTGTAACTTGGAAAATGTTGATAGTATGAAAGTAACATTTTGCACGAAATGTACTAAAGTGATTGTACAAAATGAAGAAAAAAAACCAGCTGATTCTGACAGGTCACATGGGATTGTTGTTGGTTTTTTTTCATGGAATGGCCCAGAATAAATTAAAAGTATTATTTACTGATTTAACTTCCTTTTAGCTGCAGAGCAGATCAAGATCTTGACGTTATTGTTGTCTATATGAAAGGTACAGCAAGCAAAACTCAGGAACAAACAATGTACTGAGCTTGCGTGCAAAGGTTGTAGTCACTGCTGTAATGTAAAGCTTTTTGAAGCTTTTGTTGCATAAACAGATACCTTTGTTGCTAATTGGCATGTTGATGTGAAGATAAGATTTACATTAGGTATCCCAAATATCTGGAAATTCCTGTGTTACACAAGCCAAACCATTAAACAAAATCTATAATAAAATAGCATAAATAAAGTAGACTAGCTGAAAAAAATAAATACAATATGATGAGCTCAAAAATATAAAAATGACCTAAGAGAAAAAAGTTCTGTAAAATATAATAAAGGAGATAAATGAATGAAAATTTAAATAAAATAATAAAATGCAACGTAAAAAGATGATTCGCAATACAGCAACAAAACAAAAAGCAACTGAAATTAGCCACTGTTATAAAATTACTACTGTTTAAATTGTCCAAGTTTCTGCTTGCTTACGTCTCGAAGCTGGAACTCTGTGGGGTCAAATGTTTACATTTCAGTGCTTCTGAAGCATGTGGGTTTTTGTTTGGTTTTTTTCCATTTACATTTTCTTTCCTTTTCTAGATGAATGTGGGCGTCGCTCACAGCGAGGTAAATCCCAACACACGGGTGATGAACAGCAGAGGGATATGGCTTACCTATCTGCTGCTCACTGTCGTCTTACACATTGTCCTGCTCAGCATCCCTTTCTTCACTGTCCCGCTGGTCTGGACACTAACTAACGTCATCCACAATCTGGTTAGTAAAGCCTAAACAGCTGTGCTGTGTAGAAATGAACATTTTCATGCAGTTCATCAGTTCATTTTTCTTTTTTTCATGAGCCTAGTTTCAGTTTTTATTTCAGTTAACTAAAATCTTTTTCCACACTTAGTTTCAGTTTTTACCTTTCAGCCGTAAAAGGTTGATGGGCTTCCGGATGGGCAGGCAGCGTGGGCACGTCTGTGAATGTGATAACTCGAGAGCTTCAAATTGATGGTGTAGCTACTAAAAATCTCTGACAAGTTCAGATCTCAGGGACCTCAACTTACAGGTCAGAGGTCAAGTTTTCTGAGAGTCTTCTGAACATGATGGTCGTGTCCAAATTCATGGGCTGCATCCTCCTGAGGACCCGCCCTTCGCGGTCTACGTGGGCCAGGTCCTCAGAAGGTCAGGTAGGCCGGAAGTAAACGGCTGTGAAATTGGACGGTCTAGCCTTCAGATTTGTGTCAACGCTGTCTCGGTGGAGTCTAATAAACTCGACCATCTGCTCCTTGCTATCTAAAATATAACAGGACACTGGTGTAAATTCTCGACCATCTCACGCTTCTGTTTAATCAGTTTTTGGTTTGACATTTATTCAGCTGTGTGAAAACCAAGGAGGAACCCACCTGGGGGATTAATAAAGTTTTATTTTATGTAATCTAATAACTTTAATCTCAGCCAAACCGATTTACTCACGAACAAATAAAACACTGAAAAAAGCCAAACAAGAACATTTTTAGGTTATCTAAGTGACTTATATATTACGTTTAACCTGAGTAGCGAAAGACCGCGATAATCTGAAAAATGATCTGCCGGGAGTTTGCGGCTCTCGGCGGCTCTAGTGACCCTCGAGCTCCCGGCTAGCTATCGAGCTGGTGGATAACAGACGTCTCTGAAAACGTCAGAGCACTTTTGCAAATATGCAATGTCTTGATAAACCGAGCAGATATTTGAAGTTTACAGACCCACATTCTCGCCTGAAAATATGTTGAACATTTATTTTGTGACCCAGAGTAATAAGAGTAATATTAAAAACTTAGTAGCCGCCATTTGTTTTATAACTGGAATTGGCTGGGCCGCGCTATGAATTCTGGGATATGGTGGGCCACGAAGGATACACCTGACCCATCCTTTAAATTCTGGGAAAAGGAGGACTCATTTGTCGGTTGCATTCGGAGGAGTGTACGACTTTGGACAGCCTTCGTCGCGTCGCTGTGATGTAATCGGCCTACAAATGCAGCCCATGAATTTGGACACGACTGATAACTGTGGGACAAGTCGACATAGGATTTTTAAGTTGATACAATAGTTGTGTACTAGGAGTCTGAGCGTTGTCACTGGCAGTTGCTAGTATTTGTAGTCTAGCAGTCTAGCAGGTGACAGGTATAGATACAGATAATATCAGAATCTAATCTGATTAATTCATAATTTAGCTTCTATATTTTGTGAGATCATAAAAACATCACAGTATTAAACAATGCTATTACACTAAACTGACAAATAGATGACAGTAAAACCTTTTGGTATATGACGTCGAAGACAGTGGACACTTGCATATTTAATCAGCTTTTCTTCAGTTTTATCATGACTTGTGCTGACATGTTTTTGTGTGGCACCCCCGCCTAACAATATTGCGTGATCCTGGGATGTTATTCCATTTTACATGCTGAAAGGTGGCATTGTCTGTTTTACTGTAGGGTGCGTATGTGTCGTAAAATATCGGTTTATCTGTTTTCAGGTGAAAAGAAACTGAAATTGTGGTCACGCTTTCATTTGCATTTAATCTGCAGATCAGCACACAGCACTACTTTCCTTAACACCTCCCTCCCCCAATATCAGTAAAGCGTGCTGGTGTCCAGAGTTAATGAGAAAAGTACAACTTTGTGAAGTACCATGATCTTGGTTGTTCATAACAGTGCTAAACAGTTTATCAGAAGTCGTCTGCTTCAGAGATAAAAATTTTTTGATTTTGATATGCTAAATTCAAATCGTGTACAGTTGTTTTTTTTTTTTTTAATTTTCACCAATTTGCTGCTTAAATGAGTTTTACTTCTAAATTGTAAGCTTATGTCTTCTCATCTGTTTATAGTTTTATAAATTAATACAGTTAGGTCCATAATTTGTTGAGTTAAGACTCAGTTTTTGTAGTTTTCTCTGTACACTATCACAGTGGATTTGAACTCAAACAGTGATTGAAGTGCAGACTTTCTGGGGTTCCAGAAAACTGCATTAACTGTTTAGGAATTGTTGCAATTTTTATACATAGTTTGTGGATGTTTCCGCAACAAAAACAAATTATTTATCGCTGTAAAGCCCGAACCATTAAGTACTTGCCAGAATATTCAATCGTTTTGAAACTGGAGTCTTTATTGATTCTTCTGAGAATTTAAAACAAAGCTGAGTTAAAAATGTGCATTATGAGTTTTAATTTGGATATTTTTTTTACTACACCTGGCATTTTCCGATCCCTGTAGGATTATCCATCACACTGATGATGTGTGATGGATAAAGAGATATGAAAGAATTCAAATGTGATGCACTCTGCATTACAGGGTTAAGAGTGAAGGGGATCAATAAAAGAAAGTATTTACTTAGTACTAAGTTTACATGCATTTCGCTGGTACAATTTCCATTATTTACAGTACTTTATACAGCATATTGTGAAAGAAAACTAAAAAATTTACTTGCGAGATATTTTACATCTAATATTTTAATATGCTTTAAGAAAACATGTAACTTTACTGTGTGGCATTAGATTTCCTGCTACTAGAAAGGTCAAATCTTGCTGCTGTTGTTGAAAGTGTATTAGTTGTTGTTTTAATATCTCAGGGAAGTGCTGTTCTTTAAAAAACAAAACCAAAAAAACCACCAGTTTTGCAGTGCACATCAGACAAAATGTATGTTGTTTTTCTTTTCCCACGGTTTATACCTTCAGTGTGGTTTGCACCTGGGGGAGGTAATTTTGCTCTCCACAATACTGCTCTTACATGTCAGAGCTGGGAAAATTTGTTGGGTCACTTCCAGGGTTAATGAAAACATCAGCTCTCCGGGCAGTGACTGAAATGTCTCCTTGATTCGTTGTTGCACTTGAACTTGCATTGAGTATTACTTCTTCTTCCCCCTGATAATGTTTGTAGATGACTGTTGTTATGTCTCCTCCGCAGGTGATGTACCTGTTTCTGCACACAGTGAAGGGCACTCCCTTTGAAACACCAGACCAAGGCAAAGCCCGTCTGCTCACACACTGGGAACAGATGGATTACGGCGTCCAGTTCACATCTTCACGCAAATTTCTTACCATCTCACCAATTGTTCTGTAAGTACATACACTGTTCACAACAGAACGTCACAGATAGCTTACAGTTTCACTTTCATTAGGATGAGTAATTTAACATGTAAAGGTTGCATAACTGCTGTATGTTATTTGACAACAATTTAGGCTTTTAACCGCTTTTTAAAGGATTTGTTAACAGTGATCAGCCGACAGAAACAGAAATATCAGCCCAAATAGCGACTGGCTACCCCAAGAATTACCCGTTGCCCTTATCAGTGGATAGAAAGTTAAACTTTGCTATGTTCTTTAGCCAACATGAGTCCTACATGTGTTTCTGTAAAGTAATTAAATTAAAAAGTAGTCTGCTTTTATAATAAATAAAAGATTTGGCAGTTTAATAGTTCTCCAAAGAGTAAAAGTAAAAAAGTACACCAGTTTCAATATAATTTTGACTGCAGTTGAGCAAATTAGTAAGCCAGCAGGGATGGTAGTGAAAGCAAGTGAAAGCAAACAAATCTGTCAACTCACTGTTAAATCCCCTGTTTTATTCTGTGACTGTTTTTTTTTTTTTCCTTTTGGATTTCAAAACCATAGTTAGGGACGCTCGGGAAAAGCAATTTGCATGTATTCATTCATGCTAACCACCGCTACTGAGGTTCAGTGAAACTAAGAGGAAAAGGTCTGAGGTGATAGACGTAGGCCGGTGATTCCCAAAGTGTGGGCTGTGAAGGCATGGACGATGGGGCATGAGAGGTCATTTATAATAAATGCAGTTTTTTTTAAACATATATATTAAATATATATATATATGATTTTTATAGTAGAGGTTAAACTTGTATGATCCCCTTTTATAGGTTGAATCCAATGATAATTCTTTTGGCTTTGGTTCCAGAAGTTTGTTTTTTTCTTTTTGTTTTTAGATTTGTAATTTTGTTTAAAATTGTTGTGATGAATATGAGTTTCTGGGATTGAGGTTGGCCAAAAACTGAAAAGCTAAAGCCAAATATTCTCAGACTGAACTTTCTGTGTGTCATGTACTTTTGTTTTATCATGTATTTGTGTGTGTGTTATAATCCTGAAGAATTCATGTTGATGCTTTCTTTCTCTCACTCTCTTTCTTTACAGATATATTCTTGCAAGTTTCTACACAAAATACGATCCTACGCATTTCCTCATCAACACGTGCTCGCTCCTTAGCGTCCTCCTCCCAAAGCTGCCTCAGTTTCATGGAGTACGGATATTTGGGATCAACAAGTACTGACACAACACTGGATTTTAAACTTCAACACTGGACTGTTTCAATTTTAGAGGCTGCAAAAGAAGAAAATCTGTTTAAATGGTCTGAACATGTACACATTGTTTGGAGTATTACATGAAAGTTGCTTGCAGCCTGGTGAAAGTAAATGCACTGCTGCTGTTTAATCAAAGTAAACGATGACATTCCCGATGTAAAGGCCAGACATGTTTGCTCTTGTCTTGGAGAAAGAGCATATTTATAACTGCACTGCTTTCACATGTAGCTTTTCTACAGATGTTGGTTGTTGTCATGAATGTAAATGAATATTTTTGATTCATGTTGCAAATGGCACTTGAAAGTTTTCTTTTTCTTAATTTACTATGAAGGATTAACATGCAGCATGCATTTACATGCCCATAATAATAATAAACATTTTGCCATGATAAACATAATCATGTAATGTTTGATTCAACAGCAGGGTTATCTTTATTTCACAGAATCTAGTGGGAAAAGTGCAAAATCCCATTGTACAGAGGTGTGCAGGAATCAAATCCTGCCAAAATCTCTATTATAAATGATCAATTGTAGGTCAGTGTACAAGCTCCGGGGAAATCCAGACACTTTACATGAAGCAGCCATGTGGGGGCCATCACAGAGATTGCAATATACTCGTATATCCAAGGGATTCTCCCCCTTCCACATGCACCGTGGTCGCGTTTGCATTGCAGCGAGGTTTCCCTGTTTGTGACGTTCTTTGGGGAAGTTAAAAAAGAAAAAAAGAGCGACGTGTGAATGTGATTACACTGCCAAACAGTGCCTGGGAAACACATGCAAATAACGTCAGCTGTTTCAAAGAGTTGTGTAATCGAGTGTAATCATTTGCAAAAGTGGTATTTGGGTTGTTCCCTGTCTCCAAATGTTGTGAGGGCAGACGTATAATGTAAAGAAGCCAGAGATGGAATGCACAGGGCAGTCGGGTTTAAATGTCAAAATGTCCCCAATACATCAGAAATGGTTCACTGAAACTAGAGAGTGGGAGAGAAAGAATGAATACAATGTTTTAGCTCTAACGTATACTTAAAGCTGCCTGATTGAAGATAACACTGTGTGGCTTTAACAGCAAGTTAGGTCCACTGCAGTTTTTCCCTGTTCTGTTTCCACTTTCAGTTTATTGTGAACTTAGTAAAACCTTGAAGATTCGTACCGTATATTTAAACGCTTGACTCAACATTGCATATGTAATGCGAGTGTTTGCCAGTCATGACTGGATTACATAGAAGGTTGTGTGGCACGATATGTCGGAAGTAATGCGAAGATATGAGAAAGGTCGCACATTCTTACTTTACAGCTGAGTGGTGGTTTCTTTGAAGTTAAGGTCATATTTTAACAGATTTAAAGATGCCCCTTTAAATGCGAACACCAGCGAAAATCATTTGAAAGATGCATGTTTCAAACTGAAAATACTGTTTTGCTTGTTTTGTTTCTAGATAAGTGAGGAACAACAGAAGATATCGTGTCTAAAGTACATTTGAATCTGCATACTGGACAAATGAATCACTCGACAGAAACAACAAAAACAGTTTCTGCAAATGCTGTTTGATTCAAATCACTCCATTGTTGTCTGCAAAGTGGGTTTGCTGCTATGACAGGAGTTACCAAAAGAAGCATCAATGATTTACAGATAGAATCTACTTATCCAATTCAGGGTGACTGAGGGGCTGGAGCCCATTCCAGCTACCCACAGAGCAAAATATGCTACAACCTGGGTAGGTCACCAGCCTGCTGCGGGGCTAACAGCAGGCAGGTTAACTAGTGTTAACCCAACACCACTACATGTCTTTGGACTGTGGGAGGAAGCTGGAGTGCGGGGACAACATGCAAACTCGACACAGAAAAGCCCTGCCAGGTGCAATCCACTACCTGATTTTATTTTCAAAAAATGATCCGATCTTTAGTAAATCCGTTGTTAAACCTGTTGAAATGTGACCTGGTTGTCAAAAAGAAGCAGGACAGAATTGGGCTCAGACATCAAATTGGTGGAAAAGAAGTATTTTATTAAAACAAGCAGGTCCTCTTAAAAGATTCCCATGCTAATTTCATTCACCGAAGTCGTGGCATTTTGACCAGACCACCAAACAAACCTGGCACCAACACAGCACCACAAAACTGCTGTGACCAAATTCAAACCGAAATGTGGGTTGCTTCCTAAAAGGCATCAAGGTAGAACTGGCTCTGTACCAGGACGGGGATAGAGCTGGTAGAAAGGCCACCTACTAAACAAAAGTGAATAGAAGTAAACCAAGAAAGACAGTAGCACAACCTAAATAATCAAGAATTATAATCCACACTCACACCATATAACTGAATGCTTACATTATGCCTGCTTTTTTTTTTTCTTTTCTTTTTTTTTAAAAAGGCCGCTTTATTCCCCTGCGAGTGACCCCAAATCCTTGTAACATCTAGTCACTGCTAGATGACTAAAATTCAAATTTTACATTCACAGGTATCTGGCATTAGGGAATACACAATTTTCCCTTCTAGAGGCCTGTTTGACCGGGGGCTTTACCTACATATGGTAATATGTCATTAATGATGACACGTCATGTGTTGGTGTGATGGAAGGATTGTTCAAGCGCAACACAACAAAATGTTTTATATGATAAATAAGTATTGTTACTGCATTACTCATTTTCATCCAGCCCGAACTTGGCCCCTCGAAATCTTCCTCCCACTGATGCCAGATGCTGCTAATAAGAGTTCATTGCATCCTTGAACTTGTCTCTCTGATACTACAGAGTCTTTACTTTGCAAAAATAAAGGTGCTTGACATGACAATTGTGTCAACCGACACTAAACAAGAAAAATAACTTCTTTTTTTTTTTTGCATCAAAGGCATATGATAAAGCCATGCTGACATTACTTGGGGACACTTCTACTGATGGCTTTTGTTTAAAATGAATGAAATAAGTCAAATTTAAAAAATGACATCTCTTTCTCTTCCCAAGCAGGAAACTACAGTAATAACTGGTAATAGTGATCTACAAGCATAATCTCATTACATTCCACAGCAGAAAATCCAATTAGAGCCAAAGGCTGTAAACAAAATATGTTTAGAAAACTGAAAACTTGTCTGGGCCACAACTGGGCACAAAGAAACATGCAAGTCTCAGCTTTCACTGTCTTTAAACCTCTCAACAGAAATCTTAATTCCCTGAAATAAAGAAGTATTACACATTCTTTGACAGTACTTTGTTTACTTTGCCTGTGGTGATACAAAATGGCTCTTTATCCTGGAATTCAGGGATGCCGCTAATCCCGCCTCCAAAGAAGCCATTTAAAAGTCAGTCTGGGTCTCCCATCACCTTTCTGAAAGGCAGTAATAAGTGTTTTTGTTTCCAACACTGCGGCGTCTCACTCTGGTTTCATCACAGGTACAATATCGTTGTCATCTTCGTCGTCTGTATCAAAGAGTTCATCCTCAAAGAAAGATCCTCCAAAACCGTATTCCTGAGCATGGACGGACACCTCGTTAGGCATCAAGTGTGGGGAGCCTTCGACAAAATCAGCAAACCTGTGGGTAAGCATGACGACATCGTGGACCAAAACTGAACCAAAGCATGCTGCAATACTTAGTCTTTGTTATACATGTCTCTCTCTCTCTCTCTCTCTCTCTCTCTCTCACACACACACACACACACACACACACACACACACACACACACACACACACACACACACACGCTAGTTATCCCTTATTAATGTCAACCTCCTGTTTCTGACAGGACCTGTTGCCAATTAACCTAATTAGTTGCCAAATCCTAAAGTACCACTTACTTTTCCAGCCTTTTTTTGCCCCATCTCAACTTTCTTGAGACATGCATTTTATTTCACGAAATACTGAAATGTCCCAGACATTAAAATGTTTAAATACTTGATTTTTCCATGCTCTGTAAATACAATAATGGTTTATAATCACTGCATTCAGATCTTTATTCATTTATTTATTTACATTTTACACAGGACAGGCTACCAATGTACCTTGTATTTAAACCCTTGACTCAAAATTGCAAATGTAGTGTGAGTGTTTGCCAGTCATGACTGGATTACATAGAAAGTTTTGTGGCACGATATATCGGAAGTAATGTTAAGATATGAGAAATGTCGCACATTCTTACTGAAGTTTAGGTCATAGATTTAGTGACGCCCCTTTAGACAGCAAAACCAATGAAGATCATTTGACAGATAGGTGTTTCAAAGTGAAAATACTGTTTTGCTTGTTTTTCTTCTAGATAAGTGAGGAAAAACAAAAGATATCATTCATAAAGTGCATTTGAATATGCATACTGGGAAAATGAATCACTCAGCAGAAACCATGAACTAAAGCAGTTTCTGCAAATGCTGTTTGATTCAAATCATTACTTTGGTGTCTGTAAAGTGGGTTTTTCAAATGTTCTTCCTCCAGGTTTGTTGTTTAAAACATTATTGCACAAGCAGTGCAGAAAAGGCTTACTGATAAATAAGCTAGATAGAAAGTTCTTATATGATTTTAGCAATATTTGTAATGTTTCTGGCATAAAGTAGCAATTTTAATGGTTGTCATTTATCCAGACAAGAAGCCTAAAATTTGTGACATTAGCTGATTTATTGCAGTCTTTGTATTGCAGATATTTTTTTTACAGATTTTAGAAATGATCTTAAAAAAATATGGTTACAGCAATTTACTGTGTAATTAAGGGGTGTTTGTATTATAAACAGTGTCTAAAGCAGTCAGCTATTGGTGATCAATATTGTTCAATATTGAGTCTCCCATTAGTTTTGTATAGATGATTTCAGAAAGTTGCAAGGCAATAATAAAAATGAAAACTTAAAATAAATTATTTTATAAGAAACATAACTGAATCAGAAAACAATTAGTAGATATAACACTCCTCTCTTTATTTTAGGATTAGGGGGAAGTTAAGCCAAAATTGGCTTAATTAGCAAATGACAAATGTACGAGCATAAAACCCACCTTTTTGGAGACTGAATTCTAGAGACTGTCTTCCACGGGCTGAACTCTGGGCTGTTACAATATTTCCGCAGCTCCTCCAGAGCCCGCCGAGTCTCTTCCTCAGCTTCCTTCTGATACTCCTCCTCAGTCAGCAGGCGTCGTGGCTGTGGCTTCCAGTGGATGTACTGCTTGATTTTTCTGCAAAAAGAGTATTTTCATGGCTTAAATAAATCCATATTATATGAACTTAATATGACTATTGTTCTTTATTCTACAACAAGCACAGTATCACTACTTTTAGGTTCAGCAGTTCACATAAAATAATTTACCGTGTTAAGAACATGCAATAGAAAAGTGTTTTTCTTCATTTATTCTGTGAAACTAAGTGTGTGTTTACCACAGAAGTCAGATTATACTGCCTGAGGAACAATTATCCACAGTACACTGTGCTCTTACGCCACCTTGTGTCAGCATTTTAAAATGCATACCTCCATGCAGCAACCAGCAGATAGACTGGGTACCCCAGGTTTTTGGTAAACAAAGCAGCTACAATAAGAGCGAAGGCAACTTGCTGAATCTGAATTCCTAAATAAACCAGGAGCAGACCAAAGAGCTGCAGGGTCCACGACAGGATGTTAATGCTCTTCTCATCAACCAGAGGGCCATAACGGTAACACACAGCAAAGCTGATGAATCCCACAATTGCTACATAACCTGCCAAAAAAAACAAGCAAACAAAGAGAGAGAGAGAGAGAGAGAGAGAGAGAGATGTTTTTACACTGCATTAAAAATAGTTAAATCACTGCAAAGTTATGTACCAAATGCCCATATGCTTTACTTTTAGAACAAAGTTTTACACTTACAGCCATTTTTATACAATTTCCCATTTTCAAATGCTATGAAGTAATTGGATTATTGACCAAGCAAACAGTTTCAACAACAAGGAGCAAACCGCAGGTTACATTCCAGAAAAAGAAAGCCAGATGTCAGTGTGTCACAAAACATTTAAAAGAACTTGCAGAGGCTGCCAATGGAACTGGGTCACTAGTGTTTATTGATGCTGTGATTGTTGATAGATGTAGCAAGATGATTTCTGAATGTAAAGGGTTTTCCTTTTTGCTCAGAAACTGGTAAGACAGATCTTCAGTTAAAATGATAGTGCCCCACAGCAAAAGTTTTTCAACACAAAGAAATTAGATATTCATCAGTCACCTGATTTCAAATTAAAAGACCATAATTTTAGTTACTGAAGAAAAAAAACTGACAAACAAGCAGCAACTGGAGACTGCTGCAGTAAAGATCGAACGGAACATCTTAAGGGAAGAAACACAGCATTTGGTGCCCCCCATGGGTTCATGAAACATCCAAGTATTATACAAAATTGTTATATATTTTTTATTTTTGTTAGTTTGTCCAATTCCTTCTAAGCCTCTGAAAATGGGGAAATGCAAATAAAAATTGCTGTAATTTCTAAACAGTTAAAACAATAGTTTTCTTAAACTCCATGAATTAAAGTTTAAAGTCCCTACTTCAATCACATAGTGATCGTTTGCTTTAAAATCAAACAGTCACTGATTTTGCAGCTGCAAAATGACAAAATACTGGTAGCCGCCAGTGCAACCCCTCAGCCTCATAGTAGATACAAATATTTCCCAATCCTACATCATCTTGTGCTCAAATTATTAACATTCACAAGATTTTCAGAAAACTTGACCTCTGACCTTGCCCTTGAGGTTGAAGTCACTGAGATTCAAACTTATCTGAGATTTTTGGTAGATACAGCTATCATATCAATGTTTACATTCGTATGTTGCCTTGTTCTCGCATTCACCTACCCCACCCGCCCAGTGGGGTGATAACAATGACAAGTGCATCACTACCAAAAGAACATATGGACCCAAGTGAAAACTCCTCCATGACCGACGAGCTGCTTTGTTGCTTAGGTTATATTTTTAACAGTCTAAAACCCTAAATAATTCAAAAATAATGCTTGATTTTTATAAGGTTAAGCGCACAGATAGAAATTTATGGCTGATTAATTATCTATCACTTTAAGTTTTGATTAGCGGAATAATCAGAAGCTGTAAAAATATATGTATGTGTGTATATACGTGGCAAATCTCTGTTAATGAGTCACTGCGGATCGCCCCTTTTAACATGTTGGCACCGTCCAGCAATCTGTGATAACTCGTTAACAGAGATTTGCCGCGTTAATGCAGTTATGGCGTTAACGTCATTTTAACTAGATTAACACTGACAACACAATTTTTTTTTTTTTAAATATTAGGATATTTGCTTTGGTCCTCAGTTATCAGCTAGTCACAACCTGTCCATGAAGAGTCTGTACCTAATGCCACATGCCAGTGCTCTCGAAGAATAATGCTGAGGTTCCTGAACACAAGCTGGATTGCGTACACAGAGAATGACCAGCCTCCAACTATCAACACATAAAAGGGGCTTTTCTGTGTGAAGGAACAAACACAAATGGTATAAATATCAAACATATTAGAGATATTCAATATTTTTTAAAAACTTGGATTTTGGATAAAAATTAAAAACTTTACCTTTGGTAAAAAGCGTGCCAGAATGAAAAAGAGGATTATGAGAGAGGCAATCATGCCAGTGCTCATACCGGCAGAATAGAAGAAAGCCTGACTCCTTCATACAGGTGGTGAAAAAAATATATCAATTACTATGATAAACCCAACAAACCTGAAAAAGAAACTTTAGTCCATGAGAAAAAATTACCTGCTGAGTGAGTCTGCAAAGAAAAACAGCAATGCTCCAGCGAGGAATAACGAGAATAGATATATATCAAACTCTGCAAGGGAATGAAGAACAGTAAAACACCCATATTTTAACTGCCAATAACCAGCAAATTTGTTTTATTCCATACCCCCATCCCACTTACTGCGAATGGGTTTGACAGTGTATTGCGCATTGCCAATAGGATCAACCTTGAAGCATGTCTTCTTGCTGAACAGGCTGACGTTAATAACAGTCTCATTGTGCTTCTCTCGCAGCAGGCTCTGGAACCAGCCCCAAAAACTGAAGCGATCAAGCTCCTGCAGCTCCTCCTCACCTTCCACAGTGTCCACCTTAAACACCTTTGAACTCCACACTTTGACCTGTCAGATATTGGTAATATTATATCACTCACAAATTTAATCCAGAGGCTCTTTTTAGCTGACTGTCAAGCTGTAAATAAAATTTGAAGTATGTTAGAGTAGATTACATTAGACCACTAACATACCCAAACTGAGGGATGATTTTAAAGAAAGAAAGAAAGAAAGAAAGAAAGAAAGAAAGAAAGAAAGAAAGAAAGAAATTTCAGTATTTTACCAGTTGTGGGCTGGCAGATTCACCTACTTGAATTCTTGTCCATGTCTGCCTCCAGGTTGGCAATACGGTGTTTCTGTAACAGAACCGGTTGGATCCTGACATGACATACTCGTCACCATCCCGCAGATTAGTTATTTCATGTTCTTCACCTGGGATGCATGCCAATAAATAGTAAGACTGCAACTGCCATTGTACCTTATAAGCAATATTGTTTGTGCAAGAATAACCTTTGACCAGAACACATTTGAACTCTCATTGTTTACTCAGTTTTTCTCAGGAAATATTTCCGTTTCGGGACAGAGTTAATAATAATTTGCATTTACTTTAAATTATAGGCTAAGCATTCAAGTTGTTAACTGAAACCTCTTTTCGGGCAAGTTCATGCAGGTTTCTAGGGTTTCGGTTCGACAAATTTAAACCTAACAAATCTGAAAGAGCTGCATAAATAATGTTTAGTCTAATTTATTATTTATACGAACACACAACCGGAGCCAGGGAATAATCAAGATGTAGGAATCTTAGAAAATAGCCACCAATGTTCACCATACAATAACCTTTCTGCGGTCTCACTGACTCAAAGACTGAACACAAGCTAACAATAATTAGCCTGAGCAAAACCAGTTCGAAATATGCCCCCGTGTAACTCGCGGTGTATGTTTCTGCTTCACAAGACCGCTTCTTACCCGTATCCTGTTGTGAGATTTGAGGTAAACACATAAGGAGCACCGCAAGAACCATTAATCTAGCGTTTGCTGAAATAAAACCGTTTATGATTTTCATGCATCCCGCCATGATAATTCCACTGTACCCCGCCTCTAACGCCTTGTCCCGCCCCTTCCGTCTCCGGAGAACTCGGTTGAGTCGCAGGCCGATCAGCCAATCACCGCGTTACACTGGATCGTTCGTCATCGTTTTTAGAGTACGTCTCTTTATTTTCCCGAAATCCACTCCTATTTGCCCTGTATGTCTACTGTACAAACTGAACTGGAATGACTAACAGTGCACTTTACAATTTCAAATAAAGTTATAAAAAATCTTCCTTAAATCCACAAGAAAAATTGTTTTGATAGTTAGATGTTCAGGGCCGTGCAGAGAGGTTTAAAGGGGCGGGTGCTCAAAGTTAAAAAGGGGCACATTGAACCAGGCTGAATAACAACAACACACATTCATCAAGAATCTAATATGGGAAGGGCTGGGCTGTGTTGATCTGAGACTGTAGACATTAAAAAGTCCACAGGAGAGATGGTAGCTGATTAAACAAGTGTCATGAGAT